TGTCACAAGTGCTTTTCTGCACGAAACTCTAAACAAGACAGTGTATATGAGACAACCCAAAGGCTTTGAGGACAACATCCATCCCACCCATGTATGTCTTTTACGCAAGGCTATATATGGTCTAAAATAGACCCCGAGACAATGGTATACGACCTTCACCAACTATCTCATCACTATAGGATTTCAGCAAAGCAAGTCAGATCAATTGCTGCTCATCTTTCACCATGACAAAGTCCACATCTACCTACTCGTTTATGTCGACGATATCCTCCTCACTGGGAATGACAACACAACAATTACCGCACTTTTGTAAAAACTACAACAATGATTCAATATGAAACAGCTTGGACCAGCACAAAACTTCCTTGGCATCAAGATCATCTCATATCCAGATAAGTTATTTCTATCTCAATCTCAGTACGCTAGATCTATTCTTCACCAAGCTAATCGAAGCAATTGCAACTCATTAGCTAATCCTTCATACACTAAGCCTCCTACTCAGATTTCTGCTAGTTCTTCTCTGTCTGACCCCAAAATGTATCACAAGATCACATGGGCTCTTCAATATCTAACAATAACGCGTCCCGACATAGCCTATGCTGGCAACATATTGTCGCAACATATGCAAGATCCAACCAATACCCATGCTCATCTTCTCAAACGACTGCTACGGTATGTACATGGGACGCTTGACTTTGGGCTACCGATCACAAGATCCACGCTACAACTACGAACTTTCTCGGACGCCGATTGGGTAGGCGACCCAATCACTAGAAGATCAACCTCTGGCTACTATACGTTTCTAAGACAAACGCTTATTTCATGGACAGTAAAGAAACAAGGCACGATCTCAAGATCATCAACAGAATCAGAATATAGGGCACTTGCTGCAACAACAACGGACTCTATATGGATCAAACACCTATTGTCCGATTTTCTCATACCGCATGAAAAACCCATTGATCTATTCTGCGACAATACCTCGGCGATTGCAATAGCTAACAATCCGGTAATCCACGCCAGAACCAAACACATAGAAATTGATCAAAGGTTCATTAGATATCATATTCAAAACAACAACATCAATCTACTTCCAATCAGCACAATGGATCAAATCGCTGACATCTTTACAAAACCACTATCCACCCCGAGATTTAAGGTTCTTCGGTCCAAACTAACGATCGAATAAGAATCATTAGTTTGAGGGGGACTATTAGAACATCAGAATGAAACTTCTATACATTCTTGATGTCCTATAAGAGGCGAACAAGTGTACAACATACTTTGTAATTTCTATATATATCTCTGTAATGTATCCTCTGGGTAATAAGATGAGCTTCTAACTCTTTACCATTCGCTCCGTCATTCCTTTACATTCTTGTGTCTCTTAGTAGTTTGCGATCACCAGGTTTCTTCAAAAATGATTATACTAGAATTTGAGCCGTTTACAATGGGCTGACTCGCCTCAGAGGGCGATCAGATTACAAGTAACAATTGTATGATAGAGGTCCGGGTGTTAAGCGACAGTCTGGTAGAACTTCGAGCCTCAGATGATGGTATGGCAGAACTTCGGGCCTCAAATGATGGTCTGATAGAACTTCGGGCCTCAGATGATGGTCTGGTAGAACTCTGGGCCTCAGATGATGGTCTGGTAGAACTCTGGGCCTCAGATGATGGTCTGGCAAAGGCGAGGGCCTTAGGTGGAAGACCGGTGAAGGTGAGGGCCTCCGGCGATGGTCTGGCGAAGGTGAGGGCCTCAGGTGGTGGTCCAATGATGGTGAGGGCCTCAGGCGGTGGTCCGACGAAGGTGAGGGCTTCAGATGGTGGTCCAGCGAAGGTGAGGGCCTCAGGTGGTGGTTCGGTGAAGGTGAGGGCCTCAGGCTGTGGTCCAGCAATGGTAAGGTCCTCAGGTGGTGGTTTGGCAAAGGTGAGGGCCTCAGGTGGTGGTCTGGCGAAGGTGAGGGCCTCATGTGGTGGTCCGACGATGGTGAGGGCCTCAGGAGGTGGTCCGGCGAAGGTGAGGGCCTCAGGTGGTGGTCCGGCGATGGTGAGGTCCTCAGGCGGTGGTCCGACGAAACTCTGGCAGTGGTCGAGGAGGAGCTCCTTCCTTCTCTTCCTTATCTTCTCTTCTTCTCTTTCTTGCTTGGGTCCCTTTTCAAGAGAAATGAGAGGTCTATTAATATATTTCTGGAGTGGCATGACCCATAAATAGGTGAGAGATCAAGGGTAAATGGGGAGTGGTTGGATGGACGGCCGATATTGATTCCCTTGATCATGGACTGTTTGTAAGGCATTTGGAGTCTTTAATGATTTTAGAATTCAGTGATCTTGGGCTCGTTGGATTTATCTCGTCGCGCCGCTCAATTCGATTATAACCTTGTCATATTTGGAAACCCATTTGGTAACTCAAATAGTGGTACGAAGCTTCCAATAGCACTTCGGGTCCTTGATTTGGGCTCATTTGGGCCTTGATTGAGTCGAATTTTGTGTCGTTGGGTTCGTATTTCCGAGACGCTCAGTTTGACTATAAGTTTGCTGAAATCGGAGTTTAGGTAATCCCGAATTTAATTTTTGAAGTTTCCAACCTGATTTTGCCCCAAGATTCGTGCCTGATCAAGATAATTTTTTGACGATATATCAAATCCATACCATGATTCACATGGGTATATATATAGTGAGTAATGTCAAAGAATTATAGCTTATTATTAATGAAATGTATTAAAAAAATAATTTATTATAGATTGACAATATATCTTTTATTAATAAAATTAAGTTAGAAGATAAAAAAGAAAGATTTTTTTGATGGAACCGTGAATTAAAATTTTCTCTCGAATTAAATTAACATGGAATTTAGAACTACATATTTAATGTTTTTTAATCATATTATTCAATAAAATAAATAATAATCTAAATCAATAATTATTTTATTAAAAGTGATGTAATTTCTAGATATATGTCAAGAGTATATTTTACTTATTGTATAATAGACTTTACCTATAATACCAAAATAACAAATATACTTATTTTATTATTGGAGTTAGAAATGTCCCCTCCATATGAACATTTCAAACATTATCATATGTATAATTTATGGAGAAATTGTTACGAACGGTAGCTCTATGTTTGGACTTCAATGAAATCGTAATACGTGGACTTAAATTCATATGTTACGATTTCATTGGAGTTCTAATGAAGAGCTATGTCAAGACTCCGCATGTAATAATTTCTCTTAATTTATGCACATTCTATTGAAATTATGTAGAAGGGTCTAATTATTATTTTAATTTTTAATGTGCATCTTTTAAACTAGACATAAGTGACTACACTTATCATTCAAATCAATATAAAACTTCTCTTGTAAATGGATAAAAACTTACAAACTGGATCAAATTACTAACAGTTTTATGTTACAATGGCTTTATGAAATTCACATAATTGAAAAATTAATTAATATGACTAATTTTAAATTACAAAATCTCCTAAATACTTATAAATCTTGAAATCCGCACGGCAGTTTCCCTTTCTCTAAGTTTTATATAATGACAGATACCAAAAAAAAAAACGCTAGCTCATTAACAATGAACCTCAACACTCCCGCAGAAAAAAATCCTATTCCTCCTATTCTGCGATTCAATACGAAAATTAGTATTAGAATTCTATTTGTCAGTTTGTTGATTAGATCCACCCTATTTGACGGTTCGGTCGCTCGTGCTTTACATTGCACATCGTGGTAAGGGGTCCTCTTTCTGCCTTATGCGCAGTCGGGACACTCGTCAAGCAAACAAACCGAACATATACTAGATCGTACTCGAGCTCGATAATCCAACGAGCTAAAAAATGTACTCGAGCATGAGCTCGAAACTCAATAAGCTCAACTCGCTAGCTCGTTAGCAAGTCGAATTCAAACCGGCTCTCGAGTCGGCTTAAGTCATTTGCACCCCTATGCATTATAGACTTAATGACCCATTGATTGACGATTTGATTGTCACACTTGTTATATATTGGCCATAGATTTAGGTTTGTAGCTTGTTGTGTAGCATTTGTGCTTATAAAATAGGCAATAGGTTGTAATAGATTTGTATGATTTAGAAATACGAATTTCGTTTCCTGCTTTCTACTTCTCCCTTCCCTCTCTCAAGAAGCTCATGAAGGAAGGGCTTCTTCCTCTCAAGAAAGATCCTAACATTTGGTATCAGAGCCTGATAGAGGCAATCGATCAAGGTGGAGGAGGCGGAGGCGTTTTTCTTGTCTAAGAAAACAAGAACCTGCATTAGAGGGTAGATCGAACTCACCGAAGCAGGTCGGATATATTGGCGGAGCTTGCATGAGCTGACGAACGCGTGGGGAGGCTTTGAAGGATATATTGGTGGATTCTTTCAAGATTCTTTGAAGGATAGACATCTGCAGGCTGGTTGGCTGAAGATGGATGAAGGCCAACTGAAGGCTTCAAAAGGCCATAAATTTCCTATATTTAATTCATGATTAACATATGTGTAGTTTATGGAGAAATTATTGAGTTGAGTTCGAATGTAGCTTTTAGAATTCAATGAAATCATAATATGTGTACTTGTACATATTATATAAAATCCATGGGTCGCGATTTCATTGGAGTTCAGACGAAGAGCAACATCCAGATTCCGCACGTAATAATTTCTCTTAATTTAGATACACTCTATTGAACTTATGAGAAGGGTCTACTTATTGTTTTAACTTTTAAAGTGCATCTTTCAAACTAGACATAAGTGACTTCACTTATCATTCAAATCAATATAAGACTTCTCTATTTAAACTAAAACTATCTATAGAAAGGGTAAATTTGTAAATTGATAAAAACATACAAACTGGATCAAATTACTAACAGTTTTATGTTACAATGACTTTATGAAATTAAAATAATTGAAAAATTAATTAATATGAATAATTTTAAATTACAAAATCTCCTAAATACTTATAAATCTTGGAATCCCAACAAAATAATCTAAAGACTTAAATTTCAGAATGATTGAATTGACTCCGAAGTCTTAAATTCCCAAAAAAAAAAGACTCTGAAGTCTTGCACGGCAGTTTCCCTTTCTCTAAGCTTTATATAATGACAGATAGAATACCCAAAAATTCAATGTAACCTCTGTGAAAGTTAGCTTATCTACCCCCAATCATTTGCAACTCCTCTCAGCTTCCTCCATTAATTCCCAGTCTTCATCTTTCTTTCAAGATCTATTTTTTTTCTTGCAGTTGTGCTTCTGTCAAGCTACTAACCTAGTCTCGCCATGTGCGTCAACTTCCAGCTCGATCCACTCAAATTCCTCACCGATGTATGGACAGGCCTGTCACGGCCAATGGAATATCTCCGCGATCCCAAACCCGGAATTACTCGGCTCACAGACGCCATGATCCACCTCCGAAGCAAGGGCGAAGACATCAATAACAGAATCCGCTCCGCCGAGCTGGGCGGCCTAACGCCGACTCATCAAGTCCAGGACTGGTTAAAAAAGGTCGCCGCCATCGACGAAATGGTCTCCAAAATCCAAACTGACCATGAAAATGGATCCTTTCGTTGGTTCATCAACCGCCGCGCGGTGCAAAGCCTTGCTAAAGTCAGATCATTGGGCAAAGACTACGACTTTAGCATCGTTGCCACCAGGCTGCCACCAAACGGAGTGCGGGTAGTCCCGGCCGAGCCGCCGCCGGCCAACCGTACCATGGTCTTGTACCTCTCCCAACTCCAAGCTTTTCTCCAAGACGATGGATCCCGAATCATCGGCATCTGGGGCATGGGCGGCGTGGGAAAAACCACTCTTTTGCGCAGCCTCAACCAGGAGCTGCTATGTTCATCGGAAGCAGGGAAAACCCCGCCGATGTTCGACCACGTTATCTGGGCCGTGGCATCCAAGGACTACCAGCTTGGGAAGCTCCAGCGGTACATCTCAAAGTGGCTTGGTCTACCGCTGCGCAAAGATAGGACCCGACAAGCGATGGAGATCATGGACTTTTTGAAAAACAAGAGCTTTCTTTTACTCCTCGACGACCTCTGGCAACCCATAGAGTTCGCAGATTTAGGTATCCCCCAGCTTCCCCAAAACGGAATTAAGAAGCAGAAGGTGGTGTTCACCACACGGCTCGAAGGTGTTTGTGGGGAGATGCAAGCTCGGCCAAAGATGAAGGTTGAGTGCCTAAACGAGGAAGAAGCATTGAGGCTTTTTCAGGAGAAAGTTGGCGAGGAGACTCTCCAAGCGCACATTAGGATTCCAAAGCTTGCACAAGATGTGGCTAAAGAGTGTGATGGGCTTCCGCTCGCTCTTGTGGTCATCGGTGCCGCGATGTGCACGAAGAAAACACCAAGGGAGTGGCAGAACGCCCTTACCTTGCTTCAAAAGTCTCGGCCGTATGAAATCCAAGGCATGGGTGACAAGATTCTTCCCAAACTGAAGTTCAGCTACGACAATTTGGCTGATGAAATTTTCCGCAAGTGCTTCATGCTCTGTTCTCTGTGGCCAGAAGATCACTCGATTTCTAAGACTGATCTCATCGATTGCTGGATGGGGCATGGGTTGGTCGACGAACGCAAGTTCGACAACATCAACGAAGCTTATGACAGCGGGCACGCCATGATCGGTGGGTTGCAAGCTGCGTGCCTCCTTGAACCAGGGAATAACAAAGACAGAGAGGTGAAGATGCATGACGTGGTAAGAGATCTCGCTCTCTGGATTGCGTCGGATTGTGGTGAGAGGCAAAACAGATTCATCGTCCTTTCTAGTGTAACGGCTTCCCAGGATTGGCACAGAGAGGCGGAAAAGATGTCGCTTGTTGGAAGCAATGTCAGCGACACATCTGGCCTTCCGTCCAATTGTTTCAAGCTGGAAACGTTGATGGTACAGGGAAGCATCTCCTTTAAGTCTGTGACTGGATTCTTTCATGGGACTACTGCTTTGACTTATCTCGATCTCTCCTATACAGCAATCTACGACCTGCCGCAGGAAATTGGCCTGCTTGGTAATCTTCGATACCTCAATATCTCCCACACAAACATTCCATCGCTTCCAGTGCAGCTCAGTAATCTCCGCGAGCTCAGATTCTTGCTCTTAAGGGATCTGGAATGTATCATCATTCCTAGCGGTCTGCTGGAGAAGCTTGTGATGTTGTCCGTGATCGACATGACTAATACTTGGTGCGATAACTGGAAAGAGCTCTCAAGGCTGCGTGGTTGTTTGAAAGGCGTGGGTATCGTTTTAGAGAGCATTGAAGATCTGCACCAGCTTGCCCAGCTCCCAAATGTACTGACTTGGCGGCTGGGGCTGAGGAAACTGGTGGGATTCAATGAGCCACTACAGCTTCTCTCGCCTTTGCAGCTAGGGAGCCGCAGCATTCGTTTCAGTATCCAGATGCTAAAAATCGAGTTATGTGAGAGCTTAGAGGTGGTGTCCATGGAATATGACGGTGGCGGCGATAAGTGTTCCCTATCGAGGTTGGAGGAAGTAGAGCTCAGGAGCTTGCCGGAGCTAAAGGAGATTGTTTGGAGAGGAGTTTGTCCTGCGGAAATGCTGCCGAGTTTGACTATGCTGACGATTTCTGGTTGCCACAACTTGTCAAACCTCTCGTGGGTGATCCGATTACCGAGCTTGGAAGATCTCACTGTGTATCGTTGCAGCTCAATGGAGCAAATAGTCGATGCTGATAATGAAATCAGTTTCGGTGGTGAAGAAGTGAATGGCGTTGGAGCGGCCAGTTGGGCATTCCCAAGTCTTAGGAGGCTCTGCTTAAGGGATTTGAGAAGCTTGAGAGTGTTTGGAGAGTCATTTGCGTTCCCTTCATTGGAAGTGATGCGTGTTATGGATTGCCCAGAGATGAAGGCGCTACCTTTTGGGAAGGAGATGGTTGTAAGGAAGCTGAAAGAGATATGGGGTGACAGACAATGGTGGGAGAAGTTGGACATGAAAGACGATGATAGGGAGGCTCTTTTGCCGTATTTGAATGTGGGATTGTTCGGTGGAGGCGGCTTCACAGTTACATCCACTGTCCACTAAAAAAATTTGTCCTCAGAAAGCTATATATTTTCAATTACTTCATAGTTTCATGTTAGCAGCTAATACCAAGAAGATCGTCTCAAATATAATAAAATTTTTTGAACTGTTAAAATCTTTATGCGAATCCAGAAACAGTTAAAATTATGTAGTAAACTTGTTTAATACTTAAATTTTACTATCTATCTACCCAATAACTAGATGTCATTGGTGATGACATCGATGGCATGAGAATATCCACCCTTGATGATGAATAAGAGGTGAGAAAGATGCCATGGGATATCACTGACACTAGGATTGATAACGAGTGTTAGCTGATGAAGGTGAGTAAGTTGCGACGTGATCTCACTAAGGAGCGATATGAATGGTGTCACAAGGGCGAAATTATTACGTGTTGTCATCGGATGTCGTTTGGAGGTCAATTAAGATTCGCCATGTCACCAATTTACTGTGTATCACTGTATATCAGGTGACGTGGCGCGGCCTCCCAACGATCCAATGATCACAAGTAATAATTTCGCGGCCAGTGGCTGGGAAGAAGTTTAGCCCGGTCTTAAAAATAATTATTAGTTTTTTTTTTAATTTTTTTATGAAGATAATTATTAGTTTTTTTATTAAAAGTTTTAAATTTTTTCACTAATTTTAGATGTAAAATTTATAAAATCTGAAATGTTATATACTATAAATTTTCTATTTCATAAACTTTTATAATATCTTTCTCATATTGTTGATATGAAGTAACATTCAGGCTTACTGTTTTTTTGTTACTTTTTAAAGCAATTTTTTAGTAAAAAAGATTATTTTTTTTATTAAAAAGCTTTTTTAAGAAACAATAAAAAGTAATCCCAAACGAAACCTTAATCAAATTGGGACAGACTGAGGATGAGATGAATACACAGCTCATCTTGATTTGTTGGTTGAGAGCTTATCCTTTCAACTAAGAGGCCTTGGATTTAAGTTTTTATGTATATGTTGTATGTTGTACATATGAATTTGCGTTAAACGACCTAAATGTCAAAAAAAAAAAAAAATTATGAGATGAATCATAATGACGCTGATAGAATGAGTTGTATGTACTATTTGATGCTGATAGCAGTTTGTGTGGCTAAAATAGGACGGAAAAGTCACCAAGCAAAAACAAAAAGAAAGAAAAGCTCGATTGGCACCACTCTCGCGCATGTGTAGAAAGACTTTGCGACCATGCGCAGGTCAATAATATTAGAATTTTCAAATCTTTTTTCTTGCACATGTATATCTTAAGTTTTTTTTTTCGCAAAAAAAAATTATTTATTTTCATTCCTACATCATTAATGTACTTTTCTCATGAATTATAGTAATGAAAATTAATCTTAGCTTATATTATGTTGCTTATTCTAATATATTTTATTTTATATTAGTTGTATATGATCTTTTTTTTAGCCATTATAAAATTAGTTTTTATATTTCTTCATACTAAGGTCGGGTTAGGGTAGACCCTTTTGAACGCGGGTCAGTTCCGGGTTCGACCCGAACCCGTCTCGTGACCCGAAATTGACACCTATTTGGTCAATGTGGCTTTGGAGTTTATGCTTTAAAAATAATTTAGCCACCTTATGATTATTTTAGGCATGTGGGCTTAAAAAATCTCCACTCGACTCTCTTAAAGAATTGAGTTCTAGGTCAAATTTTTAAAAGTGAGATTGGATTGCATATAAGATAGTATCTATATATTTCGTTTTTATTTTATGAGGATTTTCAAATCTAGTTTCACAATTCTCATATGAGCAAGTCTGTATGGTTAGTCATTCCTCATAGTCATGAGAGAGAACTTTCAATTAGGGCTAATTATTAGGCGCAAAATATTCAATATATAAAAAAATGCTTTTCGAATTAAAAATATATTTCCTTCATAATAAATAAATAGATTAAAATCCCATGATTATGTTATTCCGAGTTATCATAGGCTCTAATCTACTTAGTTTAACAAAAACAGTTGACTCAACCTAACATAAGGATTATTGTTGGTAGCTATGATTTGCGACAATCAAGAGAACTTTGTAGAAATTTTTAATTCAACTTTCGCTAATAGAATACTTTGTGCACAATTAAGTGCATCATTTAATTCATAACTCAAAAAATTGATCCATTAGAAAGCATGCTTGTCGGAGCACATGCGAACACTTTGTTTCTGACAATTAGTGTCCCAACCCGACACAATATAGCCTATAGATAGAACTGGTCATATCGTATCAGATAGTAACGATATAGAATCTATAGGATCTGATTGGAGAGAATTACAAAATTTTTTCAATTAAATAGCCATAGAGCCGCTAATACTTCAATTAAACAAATGAATAATCATCATCCAAAAATTTTTCATTCATTTAAAAAAATATTTAGAATAAAAAGAATTATAAATAACATTGATTAATAACCATGCAAGATTAGTAAACTATCTAGTCCTTCAATTATTATCCTGATGCTTCAAGATATGAATTCAAGTACTTGATTTGAATTTATTTGAACTCAAATCGGATCAATTGTAGTGCCAATAAATTCATCTTGACAATATATTTAATTCAATTTTAAACTTGTTAAAATCAAAATTCAGATAATCACAATTTTAAAGATTTTAACTTAACTATCATTATATTCAACTCATGCTATACTGGCTTAGTTTGGGACAATTTTTTTTTGCTTTTTAAAATCAATTTTTGGTATAAAAATTTTTAAAACTAGAAATTTTTTAATAAAAAACTGCTTAGGAAATAGGAAACATAACTAGATTACATAGTTATGAAAAAATAAAAAACTTATATTTAGATTTTCAAACTTGTAATAAATAAAAAAAAAAATTCTCTGTATGTCTCAAAAGAAAAATCATTAAATGAAAAGAAAATTTATAAATAGTCAATTAAATATTAATTAAATTCAATTCAAAATTAAATATGAATGTCTTAACACTTACATAATATATTTTATATGTTATTAGATAATAATCTTAATTTAATTAATTACAATATTTTATAAAATTAACCTTTTTTTTTTTTTTTTGAACTGGGGTATCTACCTACTGCCACCCCAAGGAGTGACTCTTGGCAGCACCCTAGAAACCTTCTAGCCCGCACTTGATTGAGCCCCACTTATGAGGCACTGCCACTCGTGGGGATTTGAGCACAGGTTGGGGGTTCCCAACCGCACTCGCCCACCAACCAAGCTAAGCATCGTTGGGTAAATTAATAAATTTAACTGAAATCAACATAAAATTCGACTGAAATTTTATGAAATTATTCTTCAATATTTCTTCACACAAGTTGCAACACAAGCTCACCAAAATGCACAGTACATGAAATACTTTCTCCTGAAGAGCTTCTTGGATTCTTTGTGTACATTGTTATATTTGCATAGGGATACCATAGAAGGAAACTCACTAAGTCTATCAGTTAAATCCACCACAATTATTTGTTCTCATGGATTTTATGGGCCATTGTTGACTAAACCAACCAACCCGACCCGTTCATTTAAACTATGCATAACAAAAACTTCTTACCTTCATTTATTAGCCATATTGCTCTCCAATTTCCATGAAATCCAACAGAACTCATCAAAACTAACCCAACCCAACCCAAATAGATAGTTTAATCTATTAACCAATGGATCTATTTTTACCTTCATTTATTAGCCATATTGCTTTACAATTTCCATGAGAAAAAGCAAGTAGATTATGTTCTACTTTCATATTCGGTCCCTCCTCTGACTGCAGCACTTGGAGACCTTTCTCAGGCAAGTCTTCTTCTTCTTCTTCTTCTTCTTCTTCTTTGGTTAAAGCAGTTGGCTGTGTTCTTTTATGAAAATTGAACAACTGAAATGAACGCACTTTGCGAACTGATATGTTATAGATATAAATCCATTAGTTTGAGAGATTAATCTCCTTCTCCGTCTCCATTCAATCACAATTACAGCATTAAAGCAGCTCTCAAGAAAATTGACACTGAATTGTTAATCAATGAACATGTTGGTTTAATTCAAAGTAATTCACTAAAAGAGGAATAAGATGATTAGAAATAGAACCAAAGTTGCATTTAGGGGCTGTTTGGTTAGAGGAAAAATAAATGCAAAGATTTATGAATACTTTACATTTTTTACTTTTTTGGTGTTTGGTTGGCACTTAGTAAATTAAAGCAAATTTCCCATGTTAGTTCATTTTGCGGGTAAAGTAAACCCGATCGATTCGAACGAAAAATGAATTTTTTGGAGAGAGAGCGAGCAGCGCACGGGAATACTCATTTGTCTCTTCCTATTGCTTCGCGTGAGGTAGAGTTCGACTTGGCCCAAGCTCGTACGCAAGAAGCCACTCGATCTTCCTGGATTCCACATGCAAAAAGCCCTGCTTCGATCCATTCCTCCACACACACGCACGAATAGAAGGCATCGACTATGTTGGATCATCCGGCTGGGGATATGTAGGAGGCTCTCCGGTGGATTGCATGCACATGGAGTTCCCGCATGGTCGCCTGATCTTCGTTCTCGATCGTCCAGGTAGGGATATGCAGGAGGCTCACCAGATGAATCGCACGCACACGGAGTTCTTCCTCGATCACCTGGCCTCCGCTCTCGATCGTCCAGCAAGGGATACGCAGGAGGCTTGCCTTTTGACTAAGAATGCAAGAAGATCTTGTTTCACATGAGTCACTTCTTCGGCTCCATTGTTGCTGTTTGACTTCGCATCTGCTTCTTCTCTGTATGTCCCCAGTGACTGTGAGTACATAAATTCAAGTGATTTTAGTTTACTATGTATATACCTAAGTAAATAGAAAAAACAGTTCATATGCATTCACTTTACAAGCAATCAAACAGCCTTAAAGTATTTACTTTACACAGCATTCACTTTGCAATCAACCAAACAAACCCTTAGTCTTCGTAAATAGACCTAAAAATTTTGAGTTTGGCAGGTGATATTAAAATTCTTCTTTTTGTTTTGTACACTCAATTCTGAATTTCTGTAACTTCATATTGACAGTATTCTGATTAACTTGGAAAAGATCACTAAACCTATAATTCTTCTGAACTTACAATGCAAAATTGAATGAAATAGACTTACCAACCTTGTTCATCCTATTTAATGTATGAATCTCTAGGCTTTTTTTCCTTCCCTTGATATTCTCTTTCTTTCTCTTATTATTCCTCTACTGATACCTAACCCGACTACTCCCTCTCACACAAAGGAGACCCGCTCCACTTCTCAGCTGCTGCACGTCGATATCCCTCTCGTTTCCTGCACTTCTCCCCAGCCTCATCTCCCTTCCCTGTTCGAACAGCCCCCCAGTAACCCTCGTAACTCCTGCGCAACCCGATCTCCAGCTGACTACCCGACCCTCTGCCCGTTTTCACTCTCAGCGAGACCCAGCGCCCCCTTCTTCTCCCGCTAGCGCGGCCATCCAAGATTCCCACCTCCCAGCTCCTCAACCTACTCCCACCCCAGCGCCAAAGCTCCCCAGCTGCCTCTCTTCTTCTATAAGAAAATTATTGAAGAATTGAAGCAATTTTACTTCTCCATAAGTTTCTCTCTTAAAAAAAAAAAAGTATGCCAAGAAACTATGATAAAAAAAAAAAAAGAAAATCAATTTCAATTTGATTGACAAAGATAATTTCATTAGAATTTTTATTGGGAGTTAAATCAAGTTGTTTATTTTCATTACTATTTTGTCTACAATCCTTAAATGATCATTCAATTGATCTTCATATGCCCTACATAATATATATTGTTCTTTAAATTTATATTTTAGGTCAACTCATGTACTGCTTAGTTCCTTTGAATACCTTAATGTTGGCAATTAAAAGAGAAGCATAATATTAAGTAAAGTGTTGTAGAGATGAGGATGCTCAGGTGGATGAGTGGTTTTACTTTTAGAAACAGGATAAGAAATAAGCATATACGTGAAAATGTTGGAGTAGCTCCAGTGGTAGATAATATTAGAGAGTGTCGCCTTAGATGGTTTGGTCACATAAAACGGCGGCCTTCTGATGACTTTGTTAAGAGAGTAGATGTATTAAGTTTAACCTATGTTAAGAAAGGTAGAAATCGACCTAAAAAGACTTGATTATAAAATATTAGAAATGACCTTTTTTAATTATATATAAATGAGAATTTGACTCTTAACTGAACACAATGGAGAAAAAAGGATTCATGTAGCTAATCCCATATAGTGAAATAAAAATTTGATGTTGGTTGTTCGCTAAGAGGATATTTGATTGAATGTTTTCAAAATATATGCATCTTAGCAGTTTGTTTGGTTGGATTTAAATCAAATGCATTGAATTTTTTTTTAATATTATTAGGATTCAATTCTAATACTTAACTTTTTCTCTCTTTCTCTCACAAATAATTGATATCAAGTCAATGGTTTACAGAATTCCATCGAAATTGATAATAAAATGTATTATCAGTGAGCATGCTGCTCATATTCAGAGTATTCCTTAAAAAAAGAATAAGATGATTTCATATAGAAACTTAAGCTTTCTTGATAGGGATGATGAATGTATTCATTTACTTTCAATTCTCATTAACATTCAAAGAAGACAGTTCGACAAATGCTGTAAAAAAATTACCTTTTCACTCTTTTCTGCATGAGTGCACAAACTTGAATTTCTGCAACCACAGATCAAAACGTCATAAAGTTATTCAGTCATTTTAAAATGATTATTGTGAAAGTCATATCTTTGACAAATAAACGCATTTCAGTATTCTATGAAAGATAAAATTTTCATTCCATGCAGAGGAAGAATTAAACAATAGAGAACCTATGGGTCTGTGGGATATTTTTGTTACTGCATCTGTGCCTGTTCTGAACGTGCTGTTGCTGACTGCTGTTGGATCAATTTATGCAACAAGCCGTGTTGGCATTCTTGGCCAAGACACAAGGAAGCTTTTGAACAATGTAAGTCATTTCTTGTATGATCCTTTCTCATTTATCTTCTTTGCTATTGGAATATTTGTATTTTTTTTTTTTTTCATTCTTAATATTGACTTTCTTGTGCATGCAACTACATAGCAAAATTTACATACATAGTCATTGTCGGAATCACGTGCTATCAGGGGCGGAACCAACCTTAGTTCTTAGGCGGGCAAGTGAAAAATTTATAAAAAAATAAAAATATATATAAGGGTGCAAAAATAATTTATTTTGCACATAATTGCTTTTCACAAACTTGTTTGTTAGTGTTAGAAAAGTTCAACATTTTTGGATGAAAATAGCAGGTGGCCAAGAGGTTTTTTTATTTTTGGAGGGTCAAATTGCATGAAAAAAAGTCAATTGAAGGCAAAAAATAAAACTCAGGAGGGGCAGATTACAACTAACCCTTATTATACTAATATTTTTTTTTTTGGGGGGGGGGGGGGGGGGGGGGGGGGGGGGGGGGGGGGGGGGGGGGGGGGGGGGGGGGGGGGGGGGGGGGGGGGGGGGGGGGGGGGGGGCGGGGGGGAGCGCAACCACTACACAATTCCGCCCTTGTGTGCTATTAAGACGTGCTCGACCAAACCTGAGGAACCCTTCGATCCCAACCAAATCTGGTTATGATACCAAAGGTGATCAAAGTTGGTTCAAGCACATCACTAGTAACTCATTTTCAATCCAAACAATCAAACTTGCCAATTGCCATAGAGTGCCAAAAGCCTATTATTTCTATACCAACATGCTTTCAATTATTTGCTATGTGAGATTGAGCTCAATACGTCTCATGTGGCTTAGCATTCATGATTTTAACTTAGTAGCATCTCTTCTATGTTTGAAGTGACGATATGGAGGGTCCATATGGTTAAAATAAGTTGAGTATGTAAATGTCTTCATGTGTATATATCACTAACATTTGCTATTCTGTACATAAGCAGGTTGTGTTTTATATATTCAACCCAGCTCTGGTAGCAAGCAACTTATCCAGTACCTTCTCACTGGAGAGCATGATTTTACTGTGAGTATCTTCTCATCTTTTGTTCAGTTCAATTCTTATAATCTTTTTGGGATTCCATCATAAGCACTACTCCTTTATAATTTTAGATGGAGTAGAAAATAAGAAAAAGAAAAAAAATATTTGTATATATTCTTTTATTATTTTTGAAGTGTAGATCGAGTCATAAGTGCCATGCAAAATATCCTTTTAAGTTTAGAATTTGTTTGGGATAAATTTCTCACTGTTTTTTTTTTTTTAAGTTTTAGTGCAAAAAATTTTCGATCAAGAAGTTTTTGTATTAAAAAGCGGCTTTAAAAAGCAATAAGAAAGTTGTCCAAAACAAAGTCTTAAAAAAGGGAAATGCTATGACTTAAATAGCCATTTAGTCAATAATCCAACTTAAAGAAAAGTAGCAAAATACTATCCTCACCATTGATGCACGGATATTAAAGTACAAACACAACATGACATAAATGTAGGACATGCATTTTTTTAAAATATATAATACACCTACATAGGTTAGAGAAGAAATTTAAAGCATATATAGTTTAATTATCCCCAAAAAAAATTCTTCATATGCAATTACAAATGCTTTAAAAATCATAGTTTTCACAATTACTATGACAGTTTGTTTAATACGTGTCAATTATCTATTCTAGATGTGCTATTATGAGGTGTTCAAGAAGTTAAATATGTTGTTTTAAGAAAATTAAAATGCGATACCAAATGGCGCATGTCAAACATGATGGTTAACACAATAAGGCAAGACAACCATCTAGAATTTTCCATAATGATATATTGTAAAATAAGTCAAAACCTATGCAAACCCAAAGAGCGGATAAAATGTTAAATATAGAAAAGAAGATCAAGGCACAAAATCACACAAGAATTTTATACAGGTTCACCCAATTGATGGCTACGCCATGTTGTTGCCGCTATAGATTTCAATTTGATTGATTGTAGAGAATTACAAAAATAGTTTCTAAGATATATATAAAACCATGCCTCTCTCTCTCTCTCTCTCTCTCTCTCTCTCTCTCTCTCTCTCTCTCTCTCTCTCTAAAGAAAAACTAGGGCAGCCTAGAAATACAAAAAAAAATTCAAAAAAAAAAAAAGTTTAATGAATTACAACAAATATTGGAAACATTTCAAGGGCCTAACCACTAAAAACCCGATAGAGAGAGGTGAGGTAATCACTCCAAATTATTCTGTGCGGAGACCAGACGGCAAGAACCATCTGAATTTTTTGCGTTTTTATTGAGTATTTGTTGCGTTTTTATTGAGTATTTGCTGTGTTTTTACAAATACTCAGTAAAAATGCAACAAATATTCAATTATGAATGCACTTTTACTAAGTATTTGATGCGCTTTTGCAAATACGTAGTAAAAGCGTAGCAAATATTTAATTATTTAGTAAATGTTCAATTAAAATACAACAAATACTAGTAAAAATACGGTACATACTCAACATATACAATTAAATATTTGCTGCACTTTTACTGAGTATTTGCAAAAGCGTAGTAAATCCGGATGATTCTCATCGTCCGGTCTCTGCATAGAATAATTTCTCCTTCTCATGATATACAAAGACCAGCTACAACAATAACTTCTCTTGCCACACTTCACTGTGCAAACAGAAGTCAGCCATCTGCTCACTGCTTTACTTCATATTGCTGTAATTAGATTGTAACTTTCTCTGCTCTTTTAACAAACTATACATGCCAGTCAGTTTTTTACGCACATTTCGAAACCTTACGATGGTGAACAAGAAATTGCTGGAACTGGGCAATCTTTGCCATTCACAAACACGAGTTAAGATCACCTACCTACTTCTAATTCTAAGCTTCAGTATCTCTATTCTATGTTCTCGCTTTATAACCTTTGTCTAATAACAAGCCAGCAATTGATAGTGCTTGTTCTATATCCGTTGATGCTTATGGTTATAAGATATGGGATTCGAAGACAAATCGTATAGGCGAATGCCAAATCATTTTTCTACGCAACAGATCAATATTGGTATTCTGTGCCAACACCAAGCAACATACAGAAAACTAATCTAGTGCAAAAAAGTTCTTGTGCAATGCTTACCTAATAATCTTCACTCAAAGAGCCCTTAAACTTCTCAATAGAGCTGACAATGAGCTGATTTCAAGCAAACTCAAGTTCAGCTCAAAATCGGATTGAAACTGTACTAGCAATGCTAAACTTAGTCCTCTGGATGGACTGATTCAATTTCAAGCCTGATTGAAATAAGCTAATGCACTTAAGTTTTTGCATATTTTATATACAATTCATATTGATGATTTCTGATAGGAAACACTTGGATTCACCAAAACTGAAGTAGATCCGATGGAAACTGCTGTCCACAGGAGAAAAACACAGCAAATCTGCTGTTTACAGCAGTTTACAGCAGAATTTCAGAGGAAATTGGAAAGAAAACTCAAAGCAAGATTTGTATTCCACTAGTAGAAGAAGAAAACATCAAAGATACAATTGATCCTCAATTCGAGAGGAGGACCGGTCTAACAATTTCCAATATGAATAAATACAAAATTTTGCTATAGTTAATATCTCAAGTTGATCATGACTCAAATCAGAGCCAAGTCCACCTCAAATCACCTTGAAGATGGAATAAAACGAAAAGCTTGATTGTGGTAAGCTTGTTCGAACCACTTTTTTGGCTTTATTCAAGCCAAAAAGTCATCAAATCACCAAATCTTAACTCATCCTTACATCTCATAGGGACAGTAAAGAACAAAGTAACTTCACATATTTTTTCCTAAAATATACTTTCATATTATGCTGGATGCATGGTAGATGAAGCTAATTGTTTATATTTTAGTTAATATACCAAAGTTTAAAGTACACAAATTCTATATATTTGCAGGTGGTTTATGCCGGTCAATTTGGTCCTGAATTCTCTAGTAGGTTCTGCACTTGGATGGATCCTTATTCAAATTACAAAAGCACCCAAGCGATTGAGAGCTGTCATTTTGGCATCTTGCTCAGTTGGTAAATATAACATAAACTGATAATATGTTCAAAAATCAATCTTGCTTTTATAAAGTTGTTGACCAGTAGCTGTATTTTTGCAGCTTATTAACATTCTAATATAAACTTTAAAGTTTGTCATGTAAATTCGCTCTTTTCTGTGTGGTTATCACTAAACCGAGTATTTCCAGCTTAAAGAAGTGATTTAGATGATATTTCTTATGTTATTTATTGTATAAATTAACGTCTTTGTATGCAAAATGTTGCATTTATAAATTTATTATAGTATATTAGGTATTAATACTGATTATCATAAAAAGGGCTTTGTTAAAGGAAAAATATGTTAGCATCCAATCATATATCATGAAAGAAATAAAGATTGTCTTTCAAAATTCAAGGTGGCGACCATACTCAATAAATGCAGAAAAACTAACTATAATTGGTCTAAAGCGAACTTCCATTATCCAAACTCACTTTAGAAGTAAATCATAATGAGCATCTCTGAAACCAATAATGTAAAGCCTCCTCAATAAGAACGATATTATGTTCCCCAACAAACTCATAGCTACATCAACCTGTAAAACTTCTTATATCAGAGTAAAATAAATCTCATCTCTAATAAAATTTTATAGCTAGGCCAAAGGCGTTATATTTCAATAAAAGTTCTTACTTCTGAGTCTGAAGCCTTATACCTAGACAAAATATTTTATTTGATAAACCCTATATCTTAATCTCCATTAAACACCTTATATTTCAATAAGAGATTTTATATCTGATAAAATCATAAGACCTTATCTCTGACAATAAAAAATTTGAAGAGAGATGAAGAGATTTGCCCACCTTTTCATTAAATAATAGCAAATGTAACTTTATTTTAGAAGTTCATCTATTTGGTGCTCTTAAAACAACTAGAAAATCAAGCAAATGGAAAATGGAAATTTTCGCTCCTCGCCATTAAAGCTTCTTACATTCATGTGAAGTTAAATAGTCTTTCATAAAATGCCTCCCTATGAAAATTTAAATTTTCTTTCTTGCAAGGGACATCATATCCTTTTCTAGTTGTAAAATTAACATCATTGTTACACATTTCTTATGAGTGATTTGCAATATTTCTGATGTATCAATTTGAGAAATTCACGCTTTTATTAACTGAATCTTCATATTAGGAAATGTTGGAAATTTGTTTCTTGTCCTAGTCCCAGCAATGTGCAAGGAGAAGTCAAGCCCCCTGCACAATCCAGGTGTTTGTGAAACATATGCTATGGCATATGCTTCTCTTTCTATGGCGGTATGATCATTTAGATTATGACGCATTAACATATAAATAAATGTATTATTTCATCTGTTTTATTTAGTTCATTTACGCAGATTGGCACAATTTTGCAATGGTCATATGTCTATAATATTGTGAGAATATCATCGAGCTACAAGGAACACAAAGAAAATGATTATAGTATAGATGGGGACCATCCCAATAATAGTGGAAGGCTTTCTATGAAAATTTACACAGGTGAGATTGCATCAACAAATAAGGGAATGGTGCTTGGTTGCTCATCAATTGAAGATCCACCGGTTCTTGAAGAATATGATCAATCTATGAATAAGACAAAGGTAAAGTTCTTCCTCTTTTAACTCTAGTTAAAAAAGTTATTCTTCTGTTTTGTTCATAGCTGAAGAAAAATGAGTCCTCTTATTTATGGGATGATGGGATCGGCAAGATTTTGTTTGGTTTAAAATGAGCATAGTGGAATTAACCGATATCAATGGTAGTAACTGAACCGTCCAATTTGGTTTGCATTGGGTCTGGTTCAGGTTTTGATTTCAAAATTAAACCCCAAAAATTATTCTTTTGATTGGTTTGGTTTAAAATTGATACTATTCGGTTTGGCTTGATTCATTTTTGTTCAATGTATTGTGTTATAGTACTCCTTATTTTTTATATCATGAAGCTACATAATCGAAGGACAATATATGCAGATAACCAAATTTGTATTTGATGTGAGAACAATCATTTTATTTTCATTCAACAGAAGGATTTTATTGAAATCACTACAATGTTCACTATTTATTTACTGATTATCCACTGCAGTTTCTGATGCCTAGAAAAACCATTCTAAAACTTCTGAAATTTGTTTCCTACTAAGTATAGTGGAGAATTTGAAGATCATATCATCATAGCATTATTTATCTTGGACTCCCCAGATCAAAATTCTGTAGATAAGAAAATTAGTTATTTTCCTATGGCCTATGGCTGCCCATAGCCTATCTCAGATAAATTTCCTTTGAAGATATAATTAGCAAATTTCTTTCAAACATAAGACTCGCGAACAACAAAAAGTACAAATTAATGAATTACATATTTCATCAACTTTGCATATATTGAAAGTCTGATACTATAGTAATACAAGCCTTAAATTTTGTCTACAAAGATAAATCTGGACCACTTTTTCCCACCAAATTCTAGTACTAAGGAAATTACATTTTGAAATTATATAATTTTTGCACTAATAAATATTTTAGTGTGAAAGATACAACAGAAGGTATACCTTTGTGGACTACGGAAGATGTACTATTTTTTTCAATATAACAAAAACTTTTTCAAAACTTCTTAGCACAGAGTTCCTATTCCAATAATTACTGCATAATGCCAAATTTTGACCAAGCAAATATAGCTCTAATGACACGTAATTTAGATTTAATCCCAAATTTATGTTAAATGAACATTATAAGATCAATGCATGCATTATATGCTTACATATGGGTGTTGCATCTACGCTTGTGTGTACTTTTATATATTTTGCCTCCTGATATTGTAATAGAAAACAGCAGTGGACATTTTGCATAGTTATTAACTCCTAAGGTATAGATTCTCTTTCTATTCAAACAAAAAAGGCATTGATGTTTTCTCTTTAATAATAGTAACTTGATCAAAATATGCCTAATCTGTTGCTAGAACTTTATAGCAATTGAAATTCTTAAAATCAGAACTTGCTTCAAGTGGATAATTATGGGCCTTCTCTTACAGAGATCAACTCTTCAATTTAATCAACATGCATTGTTCTCGTAAATCACAATGTAGAACAAAAATTAACAAAACAAATGAAAAATAAAAAGACAAATCGCATTAGTTTCAATATATGAAGCCTCTCAGAAACCTTTTTTTCCTAGCACAAACAATTCTCTTTATTTAATTTTGAGAACATCAAACTATAGGTTGGTTGATCATCATGTTCAATGTAAGATTTGATTTGGGAATTTTAACCTTACTGTACAAATTGCTTGACACAATTCCATATGCGCTAACTATGATTTGTTCTTATAATTTCAATGACATTATATCTAAGCACCTTATTAGAATTTTTCGTTTCATGAGAGAATATTAATATCAGCTGATTACAAAAGAGAACATACCTAAAATAACATGTATATCATGCACCGCTCGATAAAAACGAATAGAAAATAAGAATTTATAAAGGAGCTCCCCATAATTGGGATAATGATGATAATTGTTGTTTCATTTAATCTCAGTATGAACGTTGCATGAATGACTGAAATTTTCCAATTTATGCGAATTTTCTATTTCATGTAAAAGTTATCATAGCAAAAGATAACAAACTTTTTGAAATACTTTTAGATTATTCTATCAAGTAAGATAAACGGACTGTTACGCAAGCTTTCAAGGGTCGTTGATATAAAGAAGTTGTTTGCTCCTTCAACAATCGGTGTGGTATGCTTCTTACTTTATCCATGACTATCTTTTTCATCTCGATAACTGTAACTTATGTGAGTACACAAAAAATAATAAGAAAAAAATGTGCTTTAAATTAATAGACGAATTTAAGATCAATCATGTGAAATGCTTTAACGGCTATTTGGTTCAAAAAATTTAGAATTCATGGGCAAATATATGAATTTTAAAATGCATTAGTTTGATTTGGTGTAAATCATATGCAATGATTTTTTTTTTTATTTGTTATAATACATTTCAAATATATACTTTTAGAAATAGCATGGGCGGGCGGCATCAATGGATGTCGATAGTAGTGGTAGGTGGAAAGAGGCGGTTGTGATCGAGGGTGGTGGGTTGTGGCAATGATCAGGGGTTGCAACATTAGCGGTGGCGATGGAAGTGGTGATGGGTGGTGGTAGCGAGTGGTTGTGGAATTAGCAGGTGGTCAACAACGGTGACAACTGGATGCCGGTGATGGGGGCAACAGGTGGCAAGCAAAGGTGGCGGGTAGGGATGGAGGGTGGGCAGGAGATGTGGTGCATTATAAAAAAGTCAGAATTAGACGATTGTGGAATACGCCTAAAATGAACTAAATTGTGACTTCCAAATACATAAAGAAAATAGTTTTGATTTGCTTTTCATCCAACCAAATACTAAAATTTTTAAAATCCCTACATTTATTTTATTATACACTTAAAAACTTTAAACCAAACAACCTCATAGTATAATTGATTTTTAATCTCAACTTTATAATTATAGTAGAACATTTGATCACACGTATGTATATGGTCTAAATTTTTACACATGAGTATAGTGAATTAAAGAGAGTGGGGGAAGGTAGCATCTATTATAGATAAGATAGTAAAAAATTGATTTAAATGATTTAAACAAGTAAAATAAATGATCAAAAATACAAGAACATTAGATGGGTAGACAAAATTAATGCTGAACAATTAGAAAGAAAAATTAATAGATCAATGACAATACGGATTGAAATTGTTAAAAAAGATTTTTGTGTATAATAGATTATCACTTGATGCAAAACTCAACATGAATGAATTAACAATTAACATTCATAAAGTCAAACCCCAATAACTTGGAAAAGTTTAATGATAATGATGATTCTTCTTTTAAAGATTTTACCATATTGCACAATTCAAACACGTCCAACCAAGTTTGAATTTTGCACAATTCACCTAGTGTTTACCCCTAATACATAATATCGTGGGTAAGTCTAGTTACCACGGTACAAGATTGATCAGTTTCTCATTTCAATTTGGATGCCATAAATACCCCATAATTTATATAAGGTTTTCTTGTTTATTCTATTCAGACAGTTTTAAATGCCTCCTCTATGATTAGCAACTTATAAAGGAAATATATTTTGTTCTCTTGTAATAAGCTAAAGTAATTGCTAATTTGTTAGAGACCGACACATAGATCTGCAAAGCAAATGTGTTGCCCATGATCATCAAATCATAAAGAAGGTGACATTTTTCATTACAGGACTAGCTACAACTTAGATCTAACAAGCCTCTCAGTGATTTGAATACCACCTAGCCTATCTATAATGCCCATTTAGTTCGGACATATAAAAAAGAGGCAAGTGATGAGGGTGCAAGCTCAGGAGCATAAATGATGAACAATTGTACGAAAACCTCAAGCTCTTGAATTTTTTGATATTATAAATCAAGTGGTGCGGGCATTAACACATATACTATGACAATTACAATAACCAGTGCAAAAAAAAATTAGTTGAATGAACCGTTGTTTAAAAAGGTGTTTGAGGTGCCTGCCTTGAGGCCGGCGCCTAGTAAACACCTTGAGGCTCATGATTTTCTGGCCTGTGCTTCGCCCTTTCATTTCGAAGTGTAAGTCTCGAGACTATTGCCTCAAGGTGCATGACGTTAATACCTCAAATTAAAATTTTAAAAATACACTTTTAAGTTATATATGAGAGTTTAGAATTTATATCAATTTGGAGATAAGGGATTTACCTTTTTAGGGGGTTTTTTCATTTTTTTTTTATTTTTTACTTATTTGTCTTTTATTTTAAATTGGTATGTTTTCATTTTCTTTTAACTTCTTTCTTATCTTTTATAAAAATATATATTTTCATTTATCTTGATTTGATTTTTTTATAGTTTCTATCAAAAAAAAATTCATTTTCTTTTTCACTGTTTTTAATTATTTTTAACTGATTTTTCATTTTACTTTTGTTTTAAATGGCTTGTTTTTACTTTCTTTTAGGGTTTAGGTTCTAATTTTATTTTTAACAGTTTATTGATGATATATGCCTTATAAATAAATCTTTAATTTTATGATATTTTTTTTAATTTTAGTCAAGCATATCTTCAAAGATACATTTATTGTATTTGATGAACGGATCAATCAATAAACATAATCCACTTATGTCATTAAACTCTCTAAAAGACATAAACATAGTTCCCTCGGCATGAATTCATTACCAGATTCACAATTTACGGTCTAGAAATAACCTAATCAGTTAATTTTTTCAATACCACTTTCAAATAACATAATGTAAATTAATTTTTAGTTAAGCTATTCTAGTTTAAGAAACTGAAGTCGTGTGACAACCGATTCGATAAAACAATTTTCTACCATAAATCCAATTCAATTACCTAACTAATAACTCAAAAAAAATCAAGCTGCTAAAAAGGAGTGATTCTCACCAAACCTGATCAACGAGATCGGTTGCTGCAAAGCATTCTATGAGATTGGAGAGGCGTCTCGCCGCCGCTCCCTCTGCCGGGATTAACCATGTTCGAGAAGAAGGAAAACTTAATGAAAATGGAGAGGGGAGATGAAAACAGATAGAAAGAGAAAGGAGGAGGGACCGAGGGAGAGAGATAACAGTATTATCTCGCTGGCGATCGCAGAGCAACCTTAACCGGCGGTGCCCTACTTCTGGAACAGTGTAGGAAACCATGGTAATAAGAAATTAGAAGCAGCAGCAGCAGACCATTAAAAAAATAATAATATTTATCAAATTTGGATCCATCAAATCTTTTTTAAATGCCATTTTTTAATATTATTTATCATATTCAGATTTAAAAAATCGTCACCAAATTCTTCTGCCCGCCAATCTGTAAAGAATAGTGATTCGCTAGTTTTGTTAGCATGTTATTATGTTATTTGCCTCTTTCATAGAAATTTTTAAATAATAATTTTTTAACTGTCTAAATTATCCATGTTAGTTTAAGATCCTCATAATTTTATTCTCTTAGCGTTAACTTTTCATTAGATCTTTGAAATTTTTTAATAAAATTTCAATCATAACATATCGATATTTATGAATTTGAATTATTACAATGATGATATATCATTATCCTTTTATTATTTTTTATTTTTTATTTTTTTCTAATTACACTTTTGTTTTCAGATTGTTGGTTTTATAGTTGGAGCAACTCCCCAAATTAAAAAAGCAATGGTTGGTGAAAATGCTCCTCTTCGCATGGTTCAAGATTCACTCACATTATTAGGGTACATTACTTCTCATATTTTAATAGCATATGCTATATATATGAACAATGTTATTATAATTTAATTTGCAATTCAATTATTATCCATCATATACTTCCAATTAGAATGATATATCCATTATAAAGGTCTGCAAGAATTAGCTCAACCTATTCTTTCTACTCAAAGCATGCCTAAAGTAGGGGTGTAAGTGAGCCGAGCCGGCTCACGAGCCGAGCTCATTTAGTAAACAAGCCCGAGTTCGAGCTTTAGTAGGCTTGAATAATTATTAATGTTTTTTTTAAAATAAATATATTTTATTTAATAAATTTAAATATTAAGAAAAATTAATATAAATCATATAAGTTTTATTTAAATGTTAAACATTGCATCTTTTTTTCTAAATCCCGCCTAAGTTTTAAAATTCATGTGCATGGCTCGCGAGTCGGCTCGAGTTCGTTTATAGTGGGGCTAGTTTGAGTTCGAGCTCACTTTCCAACTGATGAGCCGAGCTCAATAAGGCCTAAACTCGACTAGACTCGTTTACACCCATGGCCTAGAAATACATTCAATATTAAATGTTTAGAAAAAGTACTTCATTTTATGCAAATATGGGGAAAATTATTAGGTCTGGACACCGGACGTAGAGATATGTCCAGTGTCCAATAAAATATTGACATGTGGAATGTACACGTGTCCACGGAATTTTAACTCAAGCAAGACAAAAACGCCGGTAAAGCGCAGTCAAAGTGCAGTTAAAGCGCAATAAAAAAGCACAGTCAAAGCGTAGCCCACGTGATAAATTTTAATTGGATATCCGGACCTAAAAAAAGGTTTAAGTCCGGTGTCTGGACCTAATAATTTTCTCAAATATGGAGCCTTCAACTATTTACTCATTTCAAAATATTTCTTGCAGCAATGGTACCATCCCAAGTCTCATACTCATTACAGGAGGAAATCTAATCAAAGGTCACAATTTTACCCATTCTCTTAATTATTTTAGTCTGATACCACAAATCTCATCATATATTTATACACTTGGAACCCTAACCCTAGGTTTCAACGGTCCGGGCATCAAAATCTCCATCATCATCGGCGTCATCGCCGTTCGATTCGTCGCCTTGCCGGTCATCGGCACCATCTTCATTCACTGTGCAGTTCATTTTGGCTTGGTACATTCAGATCCATTGTATCATCTGGTTTTATACCTACAAAATGCTGTTCCACCTGCAATGAATATTGGTAATTATTTAATTATTATTTAGAAGAAAATTTTGAAGCAAAATAAAAGTTGATATTTGAAATTAAATTTTTTGCAGCTTCTATGATACAAATGTTTGATGCTGGTGAAGGGGAACTATCTGTCATTTTTCTTTGGTCATATGTTGCAGCTTCAGGAGGGCTTACACTCTGGTCTATGTTATTTTTATGGCTTGTTTCATAAATATTTAATTATTTCTTGTGATTCAGAGATTTGCATGTATAAATTCTTTGGTCCTTAGTTTTGAATTTGAATGTGAAGTAAATTTTCTATCTAAATATTGAAATATTTAGGTGTCGTTTGGGAGGGCTTTCTTACTTCTTTTTAAAGCAGTTTTTTAATACAAAAATTTTAATTTTTGCACTAAAAAAAATTGCTTCAATAAGCAGTAAGAAAGCAGTCTTAAATGAAGCCTTACTCAAGTTTATGCTATCACCAACATTTTTTTTCTTTGCAAGTCTTTGATAATCTAAAGCTATTTTTCTTTGTTAAGGATCCATTTGAGATGGCTATAACTTTCGTAATGATAGTTATGAAGCTGTTGTAGAGAAAGTAAGGATTCGTTTAAGACAGCTTTCTTATTGCTTTCTAAAACAGTTTTTTAATACAAAAAATTTTTGGTTTGAAAATTTTGTATTAAAAATTTGCTTTAAAAAATAATAAGAAAGCTACCCCAAAAGAAGTGTGAATTTCTTGAAAGTTGATGCAGAAAGTAACTTCCCAGTACAAAAGTTTTCTAAAAGCAATGGTTAAACAAAAATTGTGATTGCGGTTTGAAAAGCAAAACATTAAAAAAACTGTCACAAATGAAGCTCATTCCTCCATACTCTTAAGCTATATATATAGCTCATCAATCATTCATTATTGTACATCTCAACAAAGCTTTATATATATTTCAAATGGATGTGTAGTTAGAATGTCTATGTACAACCTCATGCATGTTTGTTAAATGAGTCATATGGATGTACTAAAAAAATGTTTAATAAATAATACTAAGTGTGCCATTATATGAGTTTATTACACATAAAGTTGTAACAATAACTTTTTTTAAGATGTTGTTAAGTGGTGATTATTTAGTAGCTATGATGTTATTTATGCAATGCATTAGATGTTAATCATTTCCCTTCAAATTGTTGTTATATCAATCTTATTGAGGCACTCAAATATGTAGTTCTATCATATTCCAATATCTACTAATGTGTGAGGCAAACGTTTGTTGCCTTAGTATTTGATATATTGTCATACGTCTTATTTTGGAGACATTTATATGCTATTATAGATCATTTTTTGTTAACACTCTAAATAAGTAAAAGGTTTTTTTCCACAACGTAAAGCCCAAAAGCTATAAAAAGATACATCATTTGATGAGCCCGTAATTTTGGTTGTATATGCTTTTTTTTGTATAATATACTTCCAAACAAGGAATAATATGTGAGTTCTCTTTTGTGTACATACCTCAACAAAATGGAGGAATTGAACGAATGAATGAACATTTACTATTATAAGGGCTCTGTTTTTTGAAAAGAATGTTTCAAAATAACATTAAAGGAAGTTGCTTTAATAGTGACTCCCCTCATAAACTAATTGCCTTCAAGTGTCCTTGGGTTTAAAATTCTTTGTTATTTTCTAACCAAATTATGTTTTCATATTAACATCACAAAAAATATTATTCTCAAAATATTTTATAGCTTATTTTTTACATTTGCATTCTCAAAACTAGAAAATCTAATTTGCAGGCTATTCAATGTGTCTTTACTAGCTATCTCCAACATAAAAAGGATAAAATGCTACCACTTCCCATGAAAAAGGTGTATGTGTATGTTGATATTGCATTCAATAAAAATATTACTTTATTATTACTTATGCTTAGAAATAAATATCAATCTTAAATGATAAAGATGGATTGTCCCCTCCTTGATTGCGCTTGTAACTATATCCTATAATCAAATACTCTTACCTAAACGAGTTCGTGCTCAAACCACATCCACTACATGTTTTCTTAAGAACAAAGGTATCAAAACCTCAATTATACATTTCCAATTAATTGAATCAATCCCTATCACTAAATTCATTGAGGGTACTATTGAACCTACTATTGAAATGAGAGTTAGTAATAAAGATGCAAAAGCTTCTATTAAATGTCCTATAAATATAGTTTTTTATCATTACAAAAAATCTTATCAAAATCACATGATTTTTTTTTACTAACACTATTATTGAATTGCACTTGAAACAAGGAGATCTCACATTTGAGTTTGCAATAAGCATGACTTTGTGGTGATATCCTTGTTTTGGAACTTTGGTTTTAGAGATAAGTGATACATGCTTGTTCCTCATCAATATAGCAAAAAAATTTGGATATTACAAATTAAACATATTCTAGACTTTATGATCTAGCATAAATCTATGAAGCTAAGATCAATATCTCATTCAAAAAGCAAGGAAGATGATCCAACATGGAGTATTCCAACTTTTGTATAGCCTTTGGCAAGAGATGAATCATTGTCAATGCATTTGAATGCAGTGCAACAAAGATGATGTTCTTCTTCAAATAGTTGTTAATTATTTTACTTTTGGATTAAATGGTGAGTTTGATGTTGTAAGGATATAGAAATAAGAATTCACTATCACTAAATAAAATCATTACATTTTTTCAAATTGAAGAAGAAAGAAGGAAAGTCATGATTACAAAAAACCCTTTGAAGGTTTGACCTTATTATCTATGTTTGATGAAATATGCAACTCCAACTCAAAGTTCTCTCCTATTGAGAATTAGAAGCAATCAAATCTAGTAAAAAAATTGTCAATAGAGATACTTTTTGGTGTACATTTTACAAAAAGGTTTGCTATACCATAGAGAAAGGTTGGAAACTTTATGGCAAATCAAAAATAAAAATCTGATAATTTAAGCAGGATAGATAAAATTGTAGAGAAATGTACATAAAACACATGGGATAAAGTTATTCCAATTGCTTGTTTTGCTCCATAATGAAATAAAAAACTTGAAAAACTTACTATGATCATTGGAAAAGTATCCACGACAAGTACCTATACTCAATATTTTCAATTATACTCTCAAATATTATCTCCTGTCATGCATTTTAAGTCTATGAGAAGCCCATTTTAGCTCCTACATATTGATTATGGAGCAATATATCATATGACCAACTCCTTCAACAAATTTTTTTCATATACTTCTTGTCCCAACAATAAAATAATAACCATTACAAATGGATCATTGATGAGCATGGTTAATTAAGAATATACTCTTAAAAATAAATCACTCATATTCTAAAATATACTTCATGTTCCTAAATTATTTACCAAATTATTATCCATCCTAAATTTGACTAAGAATTTGCTAAATAAAGTAATGATCTCTACCACCTCAAGGAATCAAATGAGCCAACAAATTATATAGAAACTTATGTGTTATTTCTTCTTTAAGTAACCATCAAATCTAATAAAGAAATTATTAAATTTGCTAAATAAAGTAATGATCTCCAACACCTCAAGGAATCAAAAGAGCCCAAAAATCATATGTAAACTTCTATGTTATTTCTTCTTTAAGTAACCATTAAATCCAATAAAGAAAAGATCTGACTCTAATGCTTATATCTTAGTCACTCATTCTTTATAATCATCAAAATTATATATTTTTTTACAATTCAAAGAAATCAATATTGAGATATTTCATTATGATGTTTGTGAACTAGATAAGCACAAATGTACTAGTTTCCAAATGGTGACACAAGAAATCTTATACTTATTTTTCTTTCATCTATTATCTATCATATCTAAGTACCATCCTCTACACCTAACATCTCAATGATTTTGTGATTTGTCTTTTATCAATGGTTGTATTTGTGATGCCCCAGAAATCAATAGTGAAAGGATTCGTCTGACATTCTGATCGGGACGATCCTGGGAGGAAAATCCAAGCTAGAGAGGAATAGTAAGGGAACGAGGTCTCACAGTATTTGTCATAGAACCATTATACTTTCAATAGAAAGAAAAATATATGAGCCATATTGTGTGTATATACCACAATAAAATCAAGTAGTTGAACCCAAAAACATGACCACTTGCTATTATAAGGGCTCTCCGTTTTTCAAAAGAATTCATTACAATAATAATAGGGGGAATTTATTTTAACGATGACTCACATTAGAAATCAATTACCTAAATTTGTACACATTTTCTTATAAAATTCTTTCCTCACTTTAACACTTCAAATCATATTTTTCCCAAAATATTTTATAGTTTTTCCCTTGTATATGTAGACATCTAAAATAGATGAAAATATAACCCATGTGTTATTAAATGTGACATTATTAGCTACTTTCTCACACAAGGGGGTACAAGGGTGTTTGTTGATGTCACATTCAATGAGGAAAAATATTCTTTTATTATTATTTATCCTTAGAAAGGAATATCAATCATAAATGATAAAGATATATTTTTCCTTCTTAATTGCCCTTCTTTGTTATAACTCTATCCTAATATCAGCTACTCGTAAATGAAACGAGCTTGTTCCCAAACCGTTTCCCCTATATATTTACTCAAAAAATGAAATGCACGAGTCCCTCAATATACAAAATTATCATTACCTTAATCAATCCCTATTATTGAATCTATTAAGGGAAATATTCAATCTGCTACTAAAAAAAGTCTTAAAAATAAAGGTACAAGAAACATTAACATCTCTAAGTCTGCATTCTTAAAAATTTTGTCTCCATTTAAATAGTTTTTTATTAGTCTACTCCTTATGCTCATCCTCTTGAATTCCTCCTTAGATGAAAACTCTTTAAACTCTCATCAAGTGATATGAGAAAATTCAATTTCATGAAATATAACAAGGGGAAAAAATGTTTGATTGAACCATATTTAAACCATGTTCAAACCATTCTTAAATCAAGTTTAAACCATGATTGAACCAAGCTCAAATCTATTTTGAAGAATATTACTCAAACATTAATTTCTTGGATAATGCTCTAATTATGATCAAACTTTATTCAACTCATACTTGAACCATATTCAAACATTACCGAATATTGCTTGAACCTCATTACAATCTTAAGCCAATAATGTTCAAATTATCCTTAACTATTTCGAACAATGATTAAAACTACATTCAAATTAAATTAGAATTTTATTCAAACTATCTTTGAGCATTGCTTGAATAATGCTCAAACCTTATTCCAAAATGTTCGGAAAATAATCAAATATTGATAAAACATTATTCCAATCAAATTCAAATATTGTTCAAATCGTATTTAAACTTGGCTTTAATTTTGTTCAAACCCTATTCTAATCATTTTAAATTTTGTTCAAATCTTATTAAAAAATTGCTCAAATTTTAGTATGAATCTTATGCAAACAATGTTTGAATATTATTTGAACATTGTTCAAATCTTATTCGAAAGTTTGAATTAGATTCATATAAGGTTCAAAGATGATTAAACTTCTAATATGTTTGTAATAGATAATGGGATGTCTAATGGCATTCTAGATTTACGATTTATGATGTAAATGCAATATTTAGACATAAATAATCAAATATAAAACACTGCTAACCTCAAACACAAGAGATAGAGATAAAAACTATGATGTGACATTTTACCATTGATTGATTGCCTGCGCTTGGAAATCACTGGAGATAGAGAATGTGTTGGAAAGAGGAACAATTGAGTTTCTTTGTTTAAAATTTGACTTGATTATTGAGTGAGGGATTTGTATCACACTTATATAATATTAGACTCACTTTGATTTGAAGTAAAGTTTTGGATATAATTATTTCTCCAAGAGAGTAAATAACAAACATATTTATCCAATTGTGACTATTATGAGACATATAAAATCAGATTTTCTTTGTCAAATAGGGTTCTCATTTCATAACTTAATATTAGGGTTTCTGAGATTGTGAGTGAGATTAGAAGGTGAGCTTGCTCACCAACTCCAAAATTTTGCAAAATTGTGGTTCCAAAAAGAATTCTTATTTGGAGAGTTGGGTAGCCTAATATCATTAAACATTGGCTGATATGTTACACTCACTCATGCAAGAGAGTGCATTGTGGTCTTTGTGTATGTAGTTGCAAGCATGAGGGAAACACTAATAATTAACCCATGTGTTTGGGCGGGCATGAATGTAGGCCCGTAGATTTGACCAAACCACATAAAAAACATGTATATGTGTAAATTTCTATAGCTTTATATTCATAGCACCTTGTTTATTCACATATATTGCTTTGACTTGAATGATATTTTTGTGATGTTGGAATACTTGATATTATGCCACAGTGTGAAAAGTTTAATTAGATTCATTGTGATTTGCTTTTTAAACTCTCACTTTAGCATAAATGAAATTATCAACAATATAAAATTTATGTGGATCCCTATTTGATAACTTTGGTGTCATGAAATATAACTTAGGCTTCGTTTGGGACGACTTTCTTACTGTTTTTCGTCCCAAACAAAACTTTAATTTGCATATTTGAGTCAATCAAATATTGATGATCATGAGATGGTTGTTGTGGGCTGAGGAACCAATCTAGTCCTTAACAGATCATATAAAGTATAAATAAATATAAATAAAAAAGCTAAGTGTGAGATATAATGGAAAGAATTTTGTGATTATATTAAAATCCTTTAATATTTTTTATTTAAAATAATTTAATCAATGCAATGTCACAGCGATGCGCCCGGTGGCGAATCGCTGCGAAATTAGAAGGATTATTTTAACTATTTAAGGGGATTTTCTGTCCTCACTGCGCCCATCTTGCGCTTGCGCTTTTGTTCTTTGAAGCGTTCCTAAGAAGGAAGCATCTGATCCTTCTTCCCCGAACTAATCCTTATTAATTTTCAAGCTTTTCCCGTATTTCTCAATCCTTCTTTGAAAAAATCGAGCTTTTACTGGAAAAAACAGTGATTTTTATGGTAATCTCTCGAAATTTCTCAGTTTGTTTCACTTGATCAGTTGATCTTCATCATCTCCAATGTCTTCTACTTGTTTTACCGTGTGATATTAGGTTTTTTAAAAACTCTTTACTTTTTTTTGTGTGATCGTGATTTTATCAGTTAAACACAGCTCATCTCTGTCCAAATTCGAAAAAAAAAACCGTTTTTATTTTATTTTTCAATTTATAAATCCCGCTTCTTTCTAGTTCTAGGGTTTATCGTGCTCTATTTCTCTATAGTTTATCCCCCAAAAAAAAACCCTATTTTTACGGAAAACTCTTTTCAACTTTCTGTGCGCGGGAACAGTTGAGCGATTCCGCTTTCTCCGGCTGCTGAAACTTTCGAACTCGGTCCATTTCGATCCGCCTGACTTTAGCGGTTACTGTAGTCACCTCTTTCTTCATTCATGGAAGTGAGATCAGACCCCTCGTTCAATGTCGCCCTCCTGAAATCAATGTCGTCTTCCCCATTTACCGCAGTACAGAACACTCCCGTTGTGCTCGGTGAATTGCCTGCTTCTCAGAGTTTCAATGAGAATACAGAGGAGAGTGTGAAGCGTAAGCGAGGCCGGCCGAGGAAGTACGGGCCTTCTGATGGAACAATGGGGATATTGACGCCGCCTCCATTGCATGTGGCTGGTTCTTCTTCCACGGTTCGGTTGGAGTCGAAGAAGAAGAAAGATAAGCCTTTGGGTTCGGGGAAGAAGCATCAGTTGAAAGCTTTGGGTAATGTTCTTCATTCTTTCTTACTACTAATGCTATATGAATGAGAAAAAAATGGTTTCTTTGTTTCAAATTTGAGTGATGCTATATAGTTTAAATTTTTCTTATTGAATTCAATCTTAAAAAAATATCAATTACTCTCCAACATTATGATCCTGCTAATCTCTCATATTTGAATAATAGCTCAAATGTAAATAATCCTTTCTTCAAATTTGTTTATTTTTATTATAACTTGTGAGATAAATTGGAAGTTTGTGAGTTTACTTATTAGATCATGATGAAAAGCAGGGCATGTTTTAAATATTAAAAGAATTTAGTTCTATACTTTGGAAGAAAAAATATGAATTATTTACTATAAGTTAAAGGTATAAATATTAAATTTATTCCAAATAAATATTTTTATTGTATAAGGAAGAGATGAAAGCAGTATTTCTTATAAATATGAGAGTATCATTTGCAAGATATATTTATTTTCAACTTAAAATGCATATTTCGCATTTACATCCCTTTTCTAATTATCTTGTTGTTTGCAGGAGAAAAATATTTTTTTATTGTAACTATTTAGAGAAATTACGTGTCTTATGAGTTTGATTGTATCATGATAAACTCTGGCTGTACATGGTTGTAGTATATTAGACATACAGGGAACATATCCATTGTATAGGCAATTCAAAGTAGATCTTAAAACTTTTAGAAGATCTCTTATTAGACTTTTATATTTATTTGTTTTTTGTTCAACGAGTATTGTCATCATTTTCTGTTAGAAAAATAGTACAATAGTAATGTTTTATTAACTCATCATGCTGCAACTCTCTCTCTCTCTCTCTCTCTGTATATTCTTCAAGATATTGCAATTTTAAGTGGATTTTCCTTGTTTTAGATGAATCTTAGTTTCTTCTGGAATCTGTGTTTTTGGTAAGAATAACATTTTAGATCCTGAAATATGTGTTACTTAACTTCTTTATTTATGAATTCCTTTTGAATCTGATTTTATTTACTTATGATTGCATTTCTACTTACAGGATTATCTGGGATTGGATTTACTCCTCATGTCATTACAGTTAAAACTGGAGAGGTATATTCTCATGTTTAATTTTGTTAGTAGTAAGTATTTTGCATTACTAATATGAGTGTGGAATTATTTATATAAAATTAGAAACAAATATAATTTCCACATACCAGAAGGCCTCAACCATTGGATTAATTATTCTGTGCGGATGCCGCGCTGTCCGGAGACCAACTAGAATGCACCACGTCACCTCCTGATCGATACCGTGGCTCGATACTGCTCTGTACCGCTCGATACCGCGGCTCTGGTACTATTGATGTGGCACATTCTGGTTAATCTCTGGACGGCGCTCTGCACAGAATAATTTCTCCAATCATTGAGTGTCTACGACATTTATCTAGCAAACTTTAAATTGCAGTATAAGAGAAGAAATATGTTCACAATTGCACCATGATAGAAGGAATATATCATAAATTTAGTCGTTTCGTTATCTTTTTTAATTCTTAATCTTATATTTTTGTTAATTAATGACTGAAAATTTGTTGCCTTGTCAATAAAGTACTTCAGTTCTTGCAATATTCTTGTGTTTAACTGTTGAATGATGTCATGTAAAGTTTTATATATGCCATAGTAAGGAATAGGAAAATTTGCTGCTTGTTAAGCAATTTTACCTCTTTCATTATTCTGTATAGTGAATAGGAGTAGATCTAGCCAATTGCCCTTTGTGGACTCCTAATGGATTCCAGAAAACCAGCGAGAAGAACTTCAGCATTCATATTGCTGCCATATGTTGATTTTTAAGAGTAGCTGTGGTGTCATCTAGTTTATAATGTCTTTAGTAAAATTCATGCAACTTTTTACATTTGTTTTTCATGTTTATTTGTGAAAATTATCATATATTCATTAAAATTGCAATCCTGTAATATTTTTTTGTTTTGTTACTGCATAACATAAGCTCATAGCAATTCAACTAAGCGGTCCTGGTTCAGATGATTGCTAGCTTTTTGAAATTGGTTTGTTTTTCCATAATTTCTGGATATGTGATGCTACTTAAATGATGCTCCTTTTTTATGTTATGAAAGAATTTCTTGTTTTTTCTTCTTTGAAGCTTATAAATGCTGTACATCTTATGCTTGGAAAAGTCCTTTTTTTTTTGGGATGTTAGGTAGATTTGAAGGTTAAGGACATTGGAAATATGTCCCAAAATTCTTTGATAAACTCCCTCCTTCCCTGTTTCTTCTCATTTATGCTTTGTTTTGCAACTTTATTCTTGCTTTCTAAAATAGCTTTTGTACCAAAAAACTGATTTAGAAAGCAGGAAGAAAGTTGTCCCGAATGAAGCCTAAGATTGCATCAGGTTTTTTGAACTGGAACTGAACATGCTAAGCAAAAAGTTTATTTATTTATTTATTTTACGTCTATCAATTTTTATGGATTGATGTTTCTTAAATCAATGTGATTTTACAATTTACTAAAAAAGTTTGATTGTCTTCATATAGTAGGATAAATGCTTGATGATGTTGTTGTTGTTGTTATTTGATTTTGTGCTACTTTTCTCTTGACATTATATTTTGCCAGATGAATTAGATGTGAAGTTTCTCTTACAGTTTCTATAAATTCCTTAGGATGTTTCAGCAAAGATCATGTCATTCTCCAATCACGGGCCTCGTGCACTTTGCATTCTCTCAGCAAATGGTGCCATATCCAACGTCACACTTCAACAGGCTGCGACTTCTGGTGGAACAGTTACGTATGAGGTAATTCCATGTTATAGCTGAACGAGCACAGACTAGTTTACTTTTGAACTCAACCTCCTTATTTATTTGGCCATAATGGTTTCTGAAAATTGTAGAAAAAATCTTTCTTATCTGCCATTTAGTTACTTTTCATATGCATTTACAGGGACGATTTGAGATCTTATCGCTTTCGGGCTCGTTTTTGGTATCTGAAAGTTCTGACCAGCGCAGCCGAACTGGAGGACTTAGTGTATCGCTGGCTGGCCCTGATGGCCATGTATTGGGTGGAGGAGTTGCAGGTCTTTTGATTGCTGCAACCCCTGTACAGGTCTGCTTCTTTCCTTGCCATCTTCATAGTATCCTTCATTATAATTTTTCTGAAAGGTGTCATATATGTGGCAAATTATTCTGTGTGGAGTCCGGACATCGTTCAGAGGCAAATAAAAATGCACCACCTCACTCCAAAAGTTTACCGCGCTCAGTACCAAGCGGTACTGGACGGTCTCCCGTCCGGTGTCCGCAAAGAATAATCTCTCCATATATGTTGGATGGAGACCAGAAAATTTCATTTGTTCTAGAAAATATATTTGTTTCTTTTGAAAAGTTCAGATGATAGTTTCTTAAGGCGGATCTCATTTTAGTAGTTTTGATTATAGCAAAGCTGTTTCAGACTGCACATTTGGTAAAAAATATGTTTTTCGACCCAAAACTTTTTGAAAAGCAATAAGAAAAATATTATAGCCATATCTGAAAAACAGAATTGTATGAGAGCTGCTTAAAACAGACCCATGAAGTTGAGAATAACTTACCTGCTGTTACTCAAAGCAATCAAAGTTTCTCTGTTCAGGTGATCGTTGGAAGCTTCATCATAGAAGGTGACAGCGGACGGAAAGAGCCACAACAGATGATCCCCTTGGTAGGTGAATCTGAACCTGGGAAGCCGAGACCGTCGAGCCCGATCTCTCGAGGTGCATTGAATCCATCTTCAGGTGGAGGACCTGGTGGTAGTCCTCATAACCAGAGCTTTAATGGCAGCGACCATAATGGAAATAACAACCAAAATCTTCCTGTTATGTCATGGATGTGAAAACACAAAGTCTATAAAATTATGCAAATCTTGGCACCAGAACTGTTTTTTTTTTCCTTCTGTCTTGCAGATGTATTAGTTAACTTGTTGTCATCTTTGGTTTGTTTGTTTGTTTGTTTTTTTAATAAATCAAATTGTTATATTTCATTTTAATCTTCAACTTGAATTTAGTTATATTATTTATTGAATCTAGTTACCTTCTTGGTTATTAAAATAATGTATCTATTTTTTGAAACTTTTGACATCAACTGTCCATGTTACTCATGCTTTTATTTACATACCTAAATTATTTATATGCAAATAAAATAAAATTAAAATTAATTCATATAACAATATATTTATTTCAATTGCTCATAAAATAAAAATTTATTTAAATTCATTAAATATCTTAAACTCAGTTTAAAAAACATTCATAATATCACAAATTATTAACTTAAAGTTGAGAAAATTAATTAATAAAATAAATATTCTAAATAAGTCATAATAATAGAATAGAATACAACAACATTAGTGTTAAATAATTATTAAGTCATTTAAATAATGTATTTAAAAAAAGAGACTAAATTTAAATTATTTATGATATATATATATTTATCTATAGCTTAAGGTCCTTCAACTCAATAGTTCAATGACTTCTCAAACATTAGGAGTAAGCCTTTATATTGGAATAAATTGGGCATTATTATGACATCTACCAATGATTGAAAATTTTAAAGAGGTTCCAATCTTATCTTGGTGATTGGAAATAAAATTTTTTATCATTTGTTAGGCTTCATTTGAGAGTCTTTTTATTATTTTTAAAATAATTTTTTAGTAAAAAAAATTTAAGCTAATAATTTGTACTAAAAAACAATTTTAAAAGATAGTAAAAAAATAGATTGGAGACTGACTTCCCTTACTAATCATAACATGTTATACTAGTTAAAGATGACCCTGCAAACTCAATACTATTAACATTTGCTTTGTTATGTGGTGCCTTAATTTCTATGGCTTTCTTTCGAAGAGGCATCTTAAAATTTTAGGCTATTTGAGATTATTTTCTTATTGCTTTCTAATAAAACGGTTATCTAATATGAAAAAATTTAATTCAAGAAAATTTTAAATTAAAAAAAGTGCAAAACAGCTGTTCCAAACGAAGCCTTAATCACTTCAAGGCATTTCTACCATTCTGCTTCATATAGCTTGTGCTGACGTGATTTGAAATAATCTTATTTGATTTAAGAGCTACTCTTTTAAATTTACTTGTTTTGCATGGAAATTGCAAATTAAAGGGCTGAAAACTCATCAAGTTTTAGCTAAACGGGGCCTATTTGTTAGTCAGCAATGTGATATTTGCAATATCAACCTAAGAGTTTCAATCTCCCTTGTTTTTTTTTTATTGCCCTCTCACCTTGGCCCGGTTAAAAATATATCCCTTATGACTTCTTTCAATCCCCCATATGTTCTTGTTCATGCTGAAACTTCTTATGCAAAATTTCCAGAAAGTTCTTCCTTCTTGCCGTTCAACTTGGGGCATAGCAACAACATTTTTGTAGAAGGTGGATCTAATTAGATTATCTGAAGCATAAAATTCATTTTTTTATTATTCTTAAGAGCAGTAAGTGGAAATTTAAAAATTAGTTGCATGAATATACTCTTTATTTTTACAGCTTCTGGATATTTCTTTTTGGTTGAGATGTTCACCTGCTCTTCTGTTGGGGGTATTGTTTGATCTTTCTTACATGTTTTCTGACATCAGAAAATGAAAAAAAAAAACCTCCAAAAAGAAGCTACATTTGCACATCATGTATTTCACCAGTTCGCATTTTCAGGAGAGATACTAATTACAGTTCTAATCCAAAAAAATTAGTCTTTGCGGACTCAAATGGCATCCGAAGACCAACCAAAACATGCCATGTCATTTTTTGCTCGATACTTGATGACGTGTCACATTTTGATTGATCTCCGAACCGTCTAATATCCGCACAGAATAATTTCTCCATCCAATCCCAAAGACTAATCACGCAGATCATTTAGATCTAAGAACAGCAGTAAAGTTCAGGAAACAATTACACATTGAAACTGCTACATGCCTTCGGACAATCAGCTATTCTTCCAGAAAGAAGCGATTGCAGAAAAGTTTTAACTCAAATGGAAACCCTGAAATAACACTTCTGAGAAAAATATGTTTACAGTCTCAAAAAACCAAACCCGAAATCAGAAATTACTGCCGAAATGGCTTCAGATTATGCCTGTTTGGCTCTTTTAATGAAAAGTTTCATCGATGCGAAACCGAGAATAAAAGTCTGCCAGAACCAACCTGTAGCATTTGCAGGATCCACTCTCCTAGCCCGGAACCAAACATAGATGGCTTCACCCAAATGCACTAATACTGCTAAATAGAAAGTAAATCTAAGATTCCAAACCGAGCGGAAGATGAACAGAGCAATAGAATTCAGCCATCTTAGCGGCCAGAAAGTGGGTAGGAAGGCTGTGTAGAACAAACCAGTCATCCCAAAAATAACATAGATCCACATAAATATGTTAGGGCGATCTAATTCTCTTCGCTTCCTATCCTTCCAGTATGAGATTGTTTTGGCCAAGCCTTCACGAGGACTTATCATGGGAACATAACCAAGTTCTTCCTTTGCTTTCAGGTAGGAGAAGTAATGGGTCACTCCAATCTGTATTGAGGTTAGACTTGGATTAATTAAGGAGAAATGTACCATTTATCAATATATGTTCATGTGATATTATGGTTCAGAAAATGAATTTAACAAAAACCAAATTGGAGACCTTCCATTAATAGCTTTCACATGCAGTTAGCCTCCATATTGGAGACAAAACCAAATTGATTCTTTGATACCAAACTAATTTTTCTAAGATTAGGGTCCAAAACTCCTCCCAAAACTTCATTATATGACCCATAAGTTTCAATTTCCTATAATTAACAAATCCTAAACATCTTTGTTAATAGGTATTGAAACCAAAATGCCTCTTCTATGATGGTTTGATATAGTCTCAATCTTCAAAATTCTATAAAAAATATTAGTAAACCAAATAAATTCAATATTAACCATAATTCTCTAGATTTGAATATTAATACAACTCATATAGATCGAAATCATTACCATATGCATTTTTTCAAAATTAACCATACTTTTTTTTTATTGATAAAAAATTTATGTCATTATCATATTTATTATGCTTATCCAAATGGATTTCTTTCTTAAAGCTTATATTTTTTTCTCAAAATAACAATTTTATCTTACCAAAATATTTTTAATTTAGTTAAGACCTTGTTGTTTTCTATTTTTATTTATCTATTTTATTCGAAGTTTTCTATCTCTCATATTCATATTTGACGAGTAGTTTATTTTTACTTGTTTATACATCAAAAAATTGAATTCATTAATCTATTATAGATAGAGAGGTTCTCTACTGACTAATATACAATAAAGAGCGTCCCTCTAACTTGTTATCAGATGAGCATTAATCCTAACCTTAACTGTCACCCCTACCTTTGATAGCCCTTCATCTGCACCATGAAACATAGTCCAATGCCTCTTGTCACTAAATCCTAAGTATTCATTCGCATAAGACTGTTTGAAATTACATCAGAAGTCTAAAATATTGTCAATTGAAGCAAATAGCTACTAAGATAAAACCAGCCACCTAAATTAATAGCAGAAACTATTTTATATCCAGTCAAAATTATGCAAACCACATGATCTGAGAACAACTCTTGATATACATTTCTACATATTTCTCTATGCTGCAAAGTGGAATTATTTGATCTATCTATGATCAATAAATTCAGGTATGGAAAGGGCAAAATTTTCTACTATATTTAAAAAAAAGTCCTCAAGCTTTAAGATGAATGAGTTCAAAATCACATGATTTGGACAATACAATCAATTGATTTTTATGTGAATCATTAAATCCATTCTTGATGAAACTTCATGTAAGATTAATGTATGTATCTAACCTTGTAAACTTCAGCAGGAAGAAGAAGGGGCCCAGGAACCCATGAATGATTGAGCCAAGGGTAAAGAAACATCCATACGAACCAGCATATTTGTGACATTAGGAGTGCGTGCTTAACACTAATAGTAAATTTTGGCACATCATAATCCAGGCTTTTAAACAGGGGATTGATGATTGAATTGAAACTGTTGACAGGTGATCCTGAAAATAACAAAGCCACCGGCTTGAAAATAAGTCCATAATGCCAGGTTTACCAAATTATGTTGGAATAATCATAGAAGAAAGTTTAATAAAAAAAATTTCAGTCAAGGTCAGTCCGATAACGAAAAGTATACTAATAATTAAAAATGAAAACAGATGAGGTATCTATCATGAACCTTTTCCTCTGCAGCATTGCACCGAAATAAATACCAAATTACTTAAGATCAAGTAGCAAGGCATGCGTAAAGGGAAGTTGCTAGAAGCCATTGATTATTTAAATTTCCAAATCATGGACTAAGGCTTCGTTTGGGATGGCTTTTTTATTGCTTCTTATTGCTTCTTAAAACAACTTTCTAGTATAAAAATTTTAATTTTTATACTAAAAAGTTGTTTGAAGAAGCAGTAAGAAAGCGGTCCCAAACGAAACCTAAGACTCAAGAACCTAGAAGCACCTTAACTATGCAGGTGAAACACATTTCTCGTCCATCTGATCTACACATTCAGTAAAGCAAGAAAGGGTACTTCATCCACTTTTTAAGAGCTACAATTTATCAAATAATATGGATATCCAGAGAAGCAGAGTGTTGTCCAAGTACTCCATGAATTTATAAAGCAGCAATATCGCTCAGATTAATTCAGCAACCTGCATGGAAATTTGAAAGGGCATTTACAGTAGCATTGTCTATTTTAAGTAGGAATACATCAACATTCAAGTATTCATTGGTACGGCACAACAATGATGATAAGAGCATCAATCTCAACACTGAGCACGGCAAAGCAAGGAAGAAATTCATATTTTATCGTGAATGTATTTTAAAAACATAGACTTGTTAAAAAAAAAGACATCAGAAAAAAATAATAATAATAACTTTAGTTCCAAACTGGTACACTCCCCAAAAAATCTGTTATAGAAGTATATCAGTGCCATTTATTATATGAATATGCTTCTATAACATATTTTTTGGGGAGTGTACCAGTTTGGACAGGGATTGGAGATCCGGATTTTGATTCCGAGCAAAGAATCACGTACAGGATTGAACGAACGACTCCTTGTAAGAGATATGTTCATTTCACTCGCTCCAATGAAAGGAAACGGACTGAAAAAAGCTGACGAGAGAAAACTAACTGAGAGAGGAAGAAGAAAGAGAAGGAAGATAAGTCCGTGAAATTTGTACATTTTGTTGAATTTTATTTTGTGATTTAAACTTCTGAAATGAGTATATATGTCAATTAATAGAAGAGGAAGAAATTTGAGAAAGAAAGACAAAAATTTGGGAGAAGAAAAGGAAGGAAATTTAAAAATCGTCATCGAGTTATTTTAATCAAATTATTTTAATTAAGATAATCAATTATCAAGGATTTTAGAAATTAATCGTCAATCGATATAAATGCTTGTATAAGATAGATTCGTTCATTAAATTGGAGAAGATTTTTTGAAAGGGCGAAACGACGAGTTTTTATTTCTGAAGACAGGAGTAAGTGAACTAAATTATTCTTTTGCATTCACAATTATTATTTTACATTTCTATAATAGATGAAATAATATGTTATCTTCAAGAACAAAGAGAAGAAATTTAGTGGTGAATCTAAATTTCTAGGGAGGCTATTTCAAAGAGTAAGGAAGGAAAACTTTAGTGAGATAATCATATTGACAATTAAGGCATGCTTGAAATTTATATAGACGATTATTGACACTTTTGAGGTTGTTATTAAAGACTAAATTAAATTGATGTTATCATAAAATTTACTTTATAAAAAATATTTAACAATGATTAATGTAATTTAAAATGATTTGGAATAGTAGAGGATTGAATTAATCTAGTGAATGAAGGCGAAGTGTTGAAGCCAATAAAAGAATTCCAAATGTATTTGAGGTTGCATTAAGGAAGGCTATTCAGAGAATCAACCATTTGAAAGGAACTGAAGTACATAAGCAATTAAAGTGGGTAATTTCAATTGTATTATAGCAATACTAGATTTTCTCTTATGTTATTTCAATTTCTTTTGGTTATTGCAATTACTACATGATTATAGCATTGTGTTGATTAGATGGTTATTACATGAATACATTACTTGAGAAGAATAAAAGAAATGAAAAGATGAAATAAATGCTATATGATTGTTATAAAAATTTGTGTTCGTGACTCTTCAGTTTATTTGAAATATAGAATGATAAACTATGTTTGAAATTATAAGAAATGTTATAATCATCAGACTATTTGTTCCCGCCTCGTTAGTTCGAGCATCCGGGCCGGGTCATGACAAATTTGATTGAAAATAATTTTTATATCAATTGCATTTAAAAATATTACAATAATAGTTGTGTTAAAACACAAACCATTGCATCTTTTCAAACAAATATGATTCTAATTTTAGTAATTGTTTGGATAATTATTATATGTGGTATGTAGTTTATATCATTTAGGTTTAGGCTTCATTTGGGACAACATTCTTATTGCATTCTAAAGCAGGTTTTAGTACAAAAAATTTTTTAACTAGAAATTTTTGTACTAGAAAGTTGTTTTAAAAAACAGTAAGAAAATTTTCCCAGATGAAGCCTTAATTGTGAGAGATAAAAAGTAAAATTTAATATGTATTGTTCAACATTGATTGCATTGTAGAATAGATGATGACTAACTCAACGATTGTCTAATATCTTACATTGAAAAAAAAAATATTTGGTTTCATCCTCAACGAAATTGTTATGCAATAATCAATATTATCAGAAAATAAAAATTTTGTTGATAATTTTGTAAGCATTTATCAATTTATCAAATTATAATGAAATGCAATATTTTACTTTGAACTATATTTTTTTTATTTTTTTAAATATTAATTTATTTTCATGATAAATTTTCCTACCATCAAACAGAGGCTAATTTCGCCCTTGATTCTCTATTATAATCCATGAATTTTAAAGGTTTTTTTTTTCTTTTAATTATTAATATATTGAATGATTGATGGGTTATAATTGAATGATTGATGGATTGTTTAATTGCTTGCTTAGCCTAAATCAGTTCTGTCGTAAAAGATGATTTCCAGACTCATCATACATAAAAAAACCTAGGATAATATTGACTTCTATTAAGGATTGAGCAGTACCATCAGATATGAAATATGCTTGTCCAGCAGCAATGGGGTGTCCTTTCCTACCAGGAATGTCATCTAGAAGGCCCATGCTCGCCAATATAAGGGCTAGTACAAGGTTGTCCACATAAACCCAATCCGTCTTCACATTTGCATCACCAACTTTGAAAAATGCAAGACTCATCTGTGCAAGAGAGAGTATCCTCGGAAAGTGCCTCTGCTCTCCAGGTCCATAGATAGCAGCAGGACGGATTGCACAAGTATAAAGACGATCACCACTCTTTTTCCTAAGTAAAACAACAATCTTCATAAACTATTAAGAACCTTAATGAATGCTCATCAAACATGGAAGAAAAGGTGCACGGATAACTTGTTTACAATAACATGCATATAGCTTGTTAGAGAATGCATAGATCCGAGTATCATTTTTGAGATAATGCAAGACCATATAAAAATGGACTAGTTTGGGAAAGCTACAACTAAGATTATAAATGCATTCAAGTTCATGCTTTGAAACGGCAGCATGTTTGATCATTCTATTCTCAAAAATGTGAAATGCAATTAAATCCTCATATTATCTCCAGTATTAACTATGGGAGGACTTTCTGACATTGTAAGAGCTCCTTCACAAGTCCAGCAAGGATCTGATCAGAGAGGGCCAAATGCTGAGAAGCTACTTTCTACACTCCAAAGAGATCTGGTGAGGATCTCTATGCTTTGGATCTCCTCATTCTGATGAGCCTGGTGTGGTGAAATGGGGCTCCGCACAATGCAAATACAAAGAGTGGCAACAGCAGGTAGACTGATGAACTCCACACATGAAGATGTAGGGCCACCCTATGTATTCAACACCACCTAGAGATCCCTTGGGAATGTGAGGCTCCTCCAAATGTCTTGCTGAACACAAAGATAACAATGTAGCAGGATTGTTCCATCACACAGGTGCATTTTAACCTTTGATGATGTGTGACTCACACCCGTGTTAGCAAACGAGTCATATAGTTTTGTTGTATTTACAACTTTACTCTTGTACATCTTTAAATACTCGCGTCCTGTACACTTAGTTGTATATCAATATTACATTTTCTCTTATTCATTCTCGCTATCTATCTCTCTATCCTCTCAGCCTGTGTGCCTCTCGGTTGCTCTTCTTTCATGGTATCAAGAGCCATCCATGGGAGATCAAGAATAGCCAACTCTCTCCCTGCCTCCTCCATTCCATCTGAAACCTCCTCCACCAATCTCTCTATACCGGCGCCCCTCAAATTTCTCGTCTCCAACATAAAAAATCTCGTTTTACATCCCCTCACATTGGACAACTATGCAATTTGGAGTATGCAGATTCTTCAGCAATTCCAGGCGAACGACTGCGCCGGACACCTCACCGGCGTTACCCCTCCACCCGCCGATGTCGCGTCTCAAGAATATGCCCGCTGGCGCCTTGTGAACAACAATCTTCTTTCGGCTTTATTCTCAACAATTTCTCAATCTATCTTACCCTCCACCACTGCTCAAGCCGCTTGGACTATTCTTGAACGTCATCTTCAACCCACCAATCATTCTCGAGTCATCCAACTCAAGAACAAACTCCATCACATTCAAATGAAATATTTAACGATGTAGCAGTATCTTGCCCAGATAAAATCTATTGTGGATAAAATCGCTGCCTCCGGATCCAAAATCAATCCGGAAGATATCATTCTTTACACCTTCAATGGTCTCCCCCAACCTATAACCCCTTCAAGTCCGCCATACGCACATATCTTCTCCCTATCAACCTCGACACCCTCTACTCTCTCCTCTGCAGCGAGGAGATCAACATTCAGTAAGAAAACCTAAAAGAAACGATCGCAGGCTCGGCGGCTACAGCGCTCTACGCATCCTCCTATAATCAATCAGACGAAGTCAGAAAAGATTCTTCAAGAACAAGAACTTACCGACTTCAGCAACCAATCCAGCCAACCCATCTGCTCTGTCCGCCTCCACGAACTCCGGCAGATCAATCTATCAAATATGTGGAAAAACGGGATACATAGCCCTCAATTGATGGCATCAATGCAACCTCAAGTATGCTCCCACTGCATCCCGAGCACCTCGTGCTTTGCTAGCTCAACCATCTATAACCGTTACCCAAAACTAGATTCTTGACTCCGGCGCTTCTACCCATCTAACTCCGGACAGAAACAATCTTCATCACTCCGTCGCTTATCAAGGTCCCGACACCGTTTCCATTGCCAATGGGTCCTCTTTACCCATTTACAATTCCGTTCAGGGTCTTCTTCCCCTACCTGACGCACCCCATAAGATTCATTTATGTAATCTTCTTCACATTCCCTTGCTCACTCATAATCTCTTATATGTTTCCAAATTAAAATCTGATAATTCCATTTCAATATATTTTGATGCTAACGGTTTTGAAATTAAGGATTTTCAGGACCAACGAGCGCTTCCTCGTGGGCGTCTTCATAACGGACTCTATCAGATTCGTATGTCACCTGACCCCTCTCCTACAACTCTCACCACCAATACCACGACAACTCAACTATGGCATGCTTAATTAGGACATCCGAACAATCGGCTTCTCTCAATTCTTGCCCAAAGATTACCTGACCTTAGCAATTTATTGCATTATTTTATGTGTACATCATGTAACGTGGCCAAGAGCCACAAGCTATCATTCAATAAAAGCATTTCTGTGTCTTCCTCCCCATTTGAACTAATCCATTCTGATGTATGGGGGCCGACCCTGCAAAATTCTTTAGATGGTTTTAGATATTATGTTATCTTTATCGATGATTTCACATGATTTTCATGGCTTTATCTAATACATTCTAAACAAGTGACATTTATGAAATTCAAATTATTATGCAATCTTGTTAATACACAACATCACTGTACACCCAACATATTTCGTTATGACGGTGGCGGCGAATTCACAAGCAATGTCTTCAAAAACTATCTTCAAGATCTTGACATCACATATCAACTTAGTTGCCCTCACACTCCAGAACAAAATGGTTTAGCCGAGCGCAAGCACAGGCACCTACTAGATCTTACTCGCACCCTTCTACACGCCTCCAATCTTCCAAATCAATTTTGGGCCAAAGCGCTCACCACAGCTAACTATCTCATCAACCGACTTCCCTCTAAATCTATCTCCCTCCAAACACCATATCAACGTCTTCACGGTTCACCTCCTACATATTCTCACCTATGCACCTTTGGATGTCTTTGCTTCCCCTAGTTACAACCTTACACTTTAAACAAATTTTCCCCTGATCTCACGAATGCATCTTCCTAGGCTATTCCACTCTTCATAAAGGATACAGATGCTTCAACCTAACCTCCAGGAAAATTCATATTTCAAGGCACGTCATATTTTACGAGCACACCTTTCCCTATAAACCTCCCAATGCCACATCAACAACTCTATCTCAATCACACTCCAACACCACCTCTCCACTTCTTCTCATTCCAACCTCAACGGTTTCAACCTCCAATGCTTCACCCCGTCCTTATCATACCATCTCTATTCAGAACCGACATTCCATCAAGCTCACCAATTCCATCTCTTACACCTGCATCCCTTCCCAGTCATACGCCTACCCCTACCACTTCATCCAATATACCTCGGCCTATCCCTGGTTGCCCAAACCATCATATGCAAACGAGGCCGAATTCATATGCAAACGAGGCAAAAATTTGGCATCTCCAAACCAAAATGAATCTTTACCCTTCTGACCACCACTTTGTCCCACTCCACACCTACCACATACAATCAAGCAGCCAAATCTGAGCACTGGCGTACTGCAATGACGGACGAATTCAACGCCCTCCAAAAACAAAAGACCTGGTCCCTTGTGCCAGCTTCTCCAAACAAACCAATCCTTGACTGCAAATGGATATTTAAAACCAAACTTCTTTCAACATGTTAAATAGAACGCTACAAAGCTCGCATCATCGCTCTCGGCTACGATCAAATATTTGGTGTAAATTATGATGAAACCTTCAGCCCAGTCGCAAAAATGCCAACCATAAGCATTCTTCTCACCCTTGCTCTTCATCAGAAATGGCCCATGCTTTAACTGAACGTTTTCAATGCTTTCTTGCACGGTGATCTTCCTGATGGCATATACATGCGATAACCGCTAGGCTTTGTGGATCCGCATTTTCCAAACTCCGTGTGCAAACTTCATAAATCTCTTTACGGCCTCAAACAAGCACCTCGACAATGGTTACAAAAATTTACCAGCTTCCTACAATCAAGAGGATTCAGGTTCAGTCGCTCCGACCCCTCACTCCTACTTAATCAAAAACATATTCATATTTATGTACTAATTTACGTGGATGATATTCTTATCACAGGGAATGATCAATCCGCCATTCAGTCTCTCAAGAAACTACATTCTCAATTCGCTCTCAAGCAGCTCGGTCAAATTTCCCTCTTCATGGGCATCCAATTCTTTCAAAATGCCTTCGGCTACTTCCTTATACAACAACACTACGCAATGAAACTTCTTCATGACATAGGATTCGATGATTGCAAGGCTGCACCTACACCCATCACTCTGAAATCCAAAAACAAATCGAGCAATAATCAGTTATTTCAAGATTCAACTCTCTATCGACGACTTGCATGATCACTTCAATACATGTCAATAACTCGGTCGAACATTGCCTTTTCCACCAACCTTGTCTGTCAGCATATGCAGCATCTAACCGTACAAGATTTTCAAGCTCTCAAACGATTACTATGCTACATCAAAGGCACTATATCCTTCGGTCTACCCATAACAACTGGCGAACTCAAACTCAGAGCCTACATGGACGCTGACTGGGCCTCAGATGCTACTGATCGAAAGTCCATATCAGGATTTTGCACCTTCCTAGGTCCCAATCTCATCTCTTGGTCCGTCAAGAAGCATGTAACGGTTGCAAAATCATCAACGGAAGCTGAATACATACCTTTATATGCAACCACCTAAGATGTTATATGGCTTCGTCGCTTAGTTACCGAACTTAATCTTGAGCAGAAATCTCCAACCACTATTCATTGTGACAACATCTCAGCCATAGCACTTGCAAAGAGTCCTGTCTTCCATGCAAGGACTAAACACATCGATATCGACTACCACTTCATCCGATAGCACATTGGCTCCGGCAGCATCTCTCTCACTCACATCTCTTCAAAGGATCAGATTGCAGACATTCTAACAAAGCCTTTCTTCATCGCTCGTTTTAACGACCTTTGCAGCAAATTAACAATTCAACCCTCAAATGATTAATTTAAACGAGTCTGTTAGCAAACGAGTCATATAGTTCTGCTGTATTTACAACTTTACTCTTGTACATCTTTAAATACTCGTCCTGTACACTTAGTTGTATATCAATATTACATTTTCTCTTATTCATTCTCGTTATCTATCTCTCTATCCTCTCCGTCTGTGTGCCTCTCGGTTGCTCTTCTTTCAACCTGCACATCTACAATATTCTAAACTATGCTTTCACCAAGTTAGCTACAATTGCATAGTTAATTAATGGTAGTCTAACAGACAAAATAAAGCATGCTGATTGATTCAATAAGGTAAATGACCACTTACTCTCCCGACAAGCAGTTAAAGGAATCTTACAAGAGAGCAGTAAAAGAAAACAAGTGAAGAAACTAACTTGGATGAACCGCCATTACTCTTCAACACCAGTTGTTCCGCAATAGACTTGCTACGCCCATATGGATCAACATGATCATCAATAGGATAGTAGGGCAGTGACTCATTGCCATTAACAATCTCCTTTCCTCCAAACACTACATTGTATGTACTCACATAGACAAGCCTCTTGATCCCAACTTCATGGCATACATCCAATACATTGCAGGTTCCATTTAGGTTGACTTCATCAATACGACTTGCCTGAAGCATCTCCTTACCTGACATACCGTATGAGGCAAGGTGGAAAACACAATTTGCTCCCTTAAGAGCTTCCTTCAGATTCATTTTCTGAGATACGTCTCCTGAACATACAAAAAGATAATGCTTAGATGTTCATTGCTAACTAAATTAAAATGATGTCACTGTTCCATATTAAAGTACCTAATAATTTCCTGAAGTTCTAAACCCTATTATAATCCGAGGAAGAATGAAATTGTAATATAATTGGTCATGGCCTATAATGAGTGTGAGGAGAAAATGGGGATTGTGTAAATGGAGCTCGTGTATGAGTGTGAGAAGAAAATGGGATTGTGTAAATGGGAGTAAGTTTATTAGCACATGTGAAGGGAAGATTCAGCGCCGCTATAGCGAATGAGGAGGAGAATTTACAGCACCAAATTCGCAAAAATTTGATCAGGATAACATAGATATATAAATATTATAAATACTTTCTTGATAAAAAATGCGAATCGATCTCTCATGCAATTTCTCATCCTCCATGCGTCTCGGTTTGCATGTCATCGCCTCATGCGAGAGAGAACTTTAGATTTTTCGACTCGTTCGACAACCCAAGCAATATTGTTGTTCATTATGAATAATTTTGATGTTTTGAATGCAATGAAAAATTTAGTTTCATGAACAAGGATCGTTCAACCAACTTCATGCAATGTCACTCATAATCTGTTGTTTTTTATCGCGTTCTCTCAAGTCATTGGCTTAAGCCCCCTTTCCAATGGAATTTAGGTTTTGATTTTCTATGGATTGAATGTGCTTAGTCCACAGGTTAAGAGACCTCAATAAATCCTAAATTGCATCGATACATTTGCCTTAGGTGATCAAGTTAACAACAATTGGAGGTCCACCATGAAGCCAATTTCAGTGGGATTGAAGCATAGGTCCTAGTGGACCTATGTGTTAAATTTAATTGTAATTGGGTATCATTTGGTCTATCATTCAGTGATCCTAAATTTCACTTGCATCATTGACCTATGTTATTAATTAATTCATAATTCATTCAAATGAAATACTAAAAATACATTTTAAGGCTCATATTGCTTGGAATTAAATCCTAAACCAAAGAAAATTAAAAGCCCATCAAATCCCATACAAATTTAGAATAATTTAAAAGTTAAAGAAAATCATTTATTACAAAAACAACAACAACATCAAGCCTTTATCCCACTACGTGGGGTCGGCTACATGAATCATTTTTCTCCATTGTGTCCTATTAAAGGTACAATTCTCGTTTAAATCTAGTAAAGAATGGTCATTCCTAATATTTTCTAACCAAATCTCTTTAGGTCTGTCTCTACCTTTTTTAACATAAGTCAAATATAATACCTCTACTCTCCTAACCAGGTCATTGGAAGGCCACAGTTTTATGTTACCAAACCATCTAAGGCGACTCTCTCTAATCTTATATTCTACTGGAGCTACTCCAACCTTTTCACGTATATGCTCATTTCGTATCCTATCTCTAAGGGTAAAGCCACTCATCCACCTGAGCATCCTCATCTCTGCCACACTTAACTTAGTATTATGCTTCTCTTTTAATGGCCAACATTCAGCACCATAAAGCATTGCAGGCCTCACTACCATCTTATAGGATTTTCCCTTAAGTTTGATGGGTACTTTTCTATCACACAACAAGCCAGATGCATTCCTCCACTTCAACCATCCAACTTGAATTCTGCTGATAATATCCCGGTCTATTTCACAATCCTATGAACAATAGGTCCATGATATCTAAAACGAGTACTCTTATTAATGACTTGATCGCCCAAAGTCACAATCCCCTCACTGGTCTATTACTACTAAAATTACACTCCATATATTCCGTTTTAGATCTACTCAAACAAAAACCTTTAGTCTCTAATGTTGACCTCCATAATTCAAGTTTACTTTCAACTCCCTCTCTAGTCTTATTAACAAGAAGAATATCATCAGCAAAAATCATACACCAAGGTACATCCTCTTGCAAATGTCTAGTGAGAACATCCATGACTAAAGCAAAAAAGATATGAGCTTAAGGCTGATCCTTGATATAACCCAACCAAAATAGGGAAATACTTGGTCAAACCACCTTGTGTTTGAACACAAGTAATAGCTCCTGCATACATATCTTTAATGATTTGAATATAAGCATTATTGACTCATTTCTTATCAAGAACTCTCCATAGCACTTCTCTTGGAACTTTATCATATGCTTTTTCTAAATCAATAAATATCATATGTAGATCCTCCTTATTTTCTCTATATTTCTCCATCAAACCTCTTAATAAATGTATGGCTTCCATAGTCGACCTACCCGGCATGAATCCAAATTGATTTTGAGAAACATCAGTATCACACCGCAGCCTATGCTACATAACTCACTCCCATAGTTTTAAGGTATGACACATTAACTTAATTCCTTTATAATTCGCACAAGCTACAGAAACACTAATCTTAAAAAAGGTTATCAACGTTCTACCAGTATCTTTGTTAAAAAAAACACAGATTTAGTAAAGAATAAATCTGTGGAATTGAACACTAAAGCTAATTTCAAAGAAGTGGGAGAAGAAGTGCCTTTAGCTCAAGCTGATCCTGATTTGTCTGATGGGCATTATGAACTCAGTAAAAGCAGTGAAATTCAAGGAGCTGATCCGAAAGTGCAGCTGGAGGTTCTGATCAAAGAGCAGGAATCTAAAAGCAAATCTGGTATGGAGCCTATAACTCGTTCTTCTGCTGTAACTGAAAATAAGTTTGATGTATTAAATAGCCTGTTAGAAGAAGGGGAAATTATTATTCCTGATGAAGTTAATGAGCATTCTGTGGTTGAGAAGGAAGATTTGGCAGTCAGTATTGTTAAGAGGGATAAAGATACTTCCAAAGAAGAATCAGGTGATATTGTAGAAGCTACTTCAAAGAAAAAAGGTACCAAACAACTTAAAGGTTCGGGGCCTATAAATTTGGCTCCTAGGAGTAGGAGGTTGGATGGGGATATTTCCAATAATGTCATCAATTGCATTTTGGAACTGTAGAGGAGCAAGGAAGAAAAAGGCTTCTCTATATCTTATAGATATTGTGAAAAACTATGATGTTTTCTTTTTTGGTTTGTTGGAAACAAAAGTTGCTACTATGGAAAGGAAGGTTGTGGACACTCTTATTGGTCCGGATTGGGATTTCTTTCATATAAAAACTCTTTCTTCAAGAGGTATATTTTATATTAATTCTTCTGAGTCATTCCAAAAATTTAATTTAGAACTCATATCCAAGCCTACTTGAGGAGCATAAACACTTATAATATCAACAATCTTATCATCGACAACAATCTTTAAAGCTGTAATTCTATCTCCAATCCTATTAATTTTATAACATTATCCTTTAACCTCTTATCTATAATAACACCTACACCATTTCTAGTACGACTCCTACCCGAATACCAAAGTTTAAATCCTAAACAATCAATTTCCTTAGCTTTCTCTCCAACCCATTTAGTTTCCTGAATGCACAAAATATTTATCTTCCTATGAATCATAATATCTATTAATTCCATTAATTTTCCTGTAAGGGAACCTATATTCTAAGTTCATATCCTAATTTTAATTTCATGGACTAGCTTCTTTACCCACATCCGTCCTTGATGTGGGAACCCTTGCCTATTTAACACTGCACCCGGGCGCCGGTGCAACGGGCCTAATAAACTTGTCACTGTATTCATGGCATACAGCGCGTCGCTTCTAGGGGACGCCCTAGCATTAACACAATTTCTTAAAGGATTCATGTCATTATTATTCGACAAATTTTACGCTGGTTGTCGACTACCTAACACAACCCTCCACTTTTCTCATCCAGGACTTGGGACTTGGCAATGGTAGTGTTAAAGAAAATCATTACAAATAATTAAAAATACCAAAATGATTCCAAACACTTGAAATCCTCTTGGAGAGTCATTATTGACATTTGGGGAAGATATCAAAAAGTTTGGACCAAAATGAAAAATCCCTAATTGCCGTTGATTAAATATTTCATTAAAAAGGACTAAACTTTGAAAAATCATAACTAATTGTAAAAAAAATCAATTCACTCAAACCCAATTGCATTGAATCGAAAATAAAATCTAGTATTTATTAAAATATAAAACTTCATGAATTTATAACAAATAAAAAAGTTAACTTAAAGTCAAACCTACTTAATGATATTAATTAGAATTTTGATAAGTTCAATTAAATCCAAAAAAAAGATCAATCAACTCATTGAACTAAAATCAATAATCAAATAAACTAAAATAATTAGTAACCAACATTTTGTCAATAAGGTTTATAGACTTGGACCCTTTTAAGCTGCAGGGATACGTCCTAAGGAGGCTTTGTTCTTTGTGCTTGCTGCAACAATACCACGAACTAATTGACAAAATATAAACACTAAATTCTGAATGTTAATTGAAATCAGCTAATCCATGACGAGAATATAATAAAATCAATTATTAAACAAGGAAATTGTTAGATAATATGGGCCTACGAGGCTATTAAATTAGCCCGAAAGATGATGAAATAAATCTCATGGTCCTAAGGTAAAATTAGACAATTGTCATTTAACTTAAATAATTGATCTACAAACCATTAACTAACTAATTGGGTTAATCAAAATCAACAAACTAAATCAAACATAAATCAAGAGATTATTGTTGGGTAACTCGGACCTACAAGGCTATTAAATTAGCCCCCTTCACACACTACAGATTGCTTGTCAGGACAACCAATTTTAGTTATAGGCTAGGCCATTATTCTTTAATGAGTTTTATCTTGAATGTGAAATAAATTTCTATTTTAACGAATGAATGACGTATTTTTATTACGCATTCTTCCTGTATGCTTTTAAGTGATTTTGATGTGGTCAGTGATGGGTGTTTAGATTCTTTTAGTTAGGGACGACCTGAATGTTAACAGATTTTTTGCAGGTGGTCATGCTTATGCAAGATCATAAAAAGGGGATAATCATTAATTAAAATTTAAATTAAAAAAATTTCTGCACGTGCTGTTTATTTTACTATATGAACTATTTTATTGGTTGATTAAAAGCATGGCCAAGTTGATATGCT